CCCTTGTCCGAGTTAGGCATGTGGGTTACCAAGTACATTGAGGAATCTCGAGCCTGGAGGTAATATCGCCCCCCGGCGACGAGCATTAGGTCGTAGCAGAATGAAAATTTCATCTACCCCCTAAGTTAGTCTCCAGCCGAGTGTTTATAGCGACTACGCCCATCACAATCCTAAAGAAGTTAACCCCACATTAGAGGGAAAAGAACTTCAGTTGCATCAAGACTCCCAGCAACAGAGGATGGAGGGGGAAGGTCAACCCTCCTTCCATGATGGCCTTCGTCCAGAAAGGCATCATGTCCACATTTCCCATATCCCTCCTATGGTGAGTGGGGTTGAAGGGGAAAGCGAAGACAGGTTCACAGATGCGGTACCTAACCCTAAAGACTTGGATATTCTCATATGTTACTTGGGTTCTCCTCATCTTGTGGGTAGTACTAGCCCTAACCGACGTTTTCCCCCCTGGTTCTACTAGTTCTAGCCATTGGTGAGCACTAAGAGGACGAAATACAGAGGAAATGAAGAGAGAAAAAGCTCGAGTGGAAGTACTTACAGAAGGGTGGTCTTCAAAGAGGGCTCGGAGGACGAAGGAAACTCGGAGGACAGAAGAACACTCGAGGTCTGACTGTTGAGGAGAGATTAAGGATGCAAAAGTTCTGAAAGGGTAGGAAAACCTCTTATTTATACTGCCCTCGCAGGGAGTGGGAATCGAAAAGTTGTCTCATCATTAGGGTATTTGAAAAGGGCGACACCAAACGTGCAAGTAACCGTCGTCATTAATAAGGCGTGATGATGGAGCCCCAGTCTCTTTACGCCACTTGTCTTGCGCTGCGAAAAGGATGGCGGCTGGGGGGCAGGTTGGCGGGCTCCAGTGCGGCTTTTCAGCCTCTGAGACAGTGACAATTGGAACAATGTGCCGTTGGGATGACCAGGGATGCCAAGGTATGGTGACACAGAGCGGCCGAGTACGACAGTTGACATCGTATTTAATGCGATGTGACCTCACATTTATGGCGGAATGAGTGATAAATGCGCGCCTGCAAGCAACTGTCCTCTGGGAGTCTAAGTCTATACTCTGTCATGGCTAAGCATTAATGGTTGATGCGCCGAGACGACGCATCAGATCTCCCGAGGAACTGTTCCGCCGAGTATTCAATGCTTGGTTGGTGTCAGATGCCGACCTGATGGATTTAGTCATTCGGGGAGTGGCATAATTGCTCGACGGATGACCGTTTTAGTCCATTTTCCTAGCATTTAATAGGAGGAGACGTGAATAGGAAGCACTCACTGCACGAGGGATAGTGTGTCAAATATGAAGATGTCAGATGTGACTGAAGATCTTTAGCAATCATTACCAATTCAGGTATAAATATTCCTCAGAAAAATGGACAAGGGTACGCAAACTCAAACCAGAAAAAGTCCATCAAGCAAAACTCTTCGATCTTTAACTAACTTAAGCTTCGGAGGGGATTAGCCGGGCAAACGCCTGGCCCCCCTTTTTTGACCCCGTTGTTCCAGGTTCGCCAGTTTGGAGATCGCCGCCTCACACGATTGCAGGAATCATCCCGTGCACATACCTAAAATTTACTCTTCGGCTCCCTTCAAGAAGTTGATGGATTATGTTTTTTTCCCTTCAATATCTTTGATTTCTCCATAGTGTTTGTTTGAGTAAGACTGGATGATCTCTGTTTAGCTTTGTTGCATGGGTACAATTAGGTCATGGGTCACAAGTTCTGGTATGATAAAGCGCTCTTCTTCTGGCATAAATCGTGGGATCGGCTAGGGTTATTCCGCAATCTGCAAGATTGTGTTTCTATACTGAGGAAAGTTTTTATGGTTCTGGGAAAACCGAAAGGGTTCAACACTGTGGGAATTTGCTATTAGGGCAATATTTGGGTGGTATGGATGGAAAAAAATTGAGGATCATTTTGGAAGTTAGAGGACTTGGAGTTGTTATGGATAGTGTAAAGTTCTTGACATCTCTCTGGGCAGCCATTGTTGATAGAACAAATTTCAAATCAGTTTGTGATTGAGGATTTCCATTGTTTTTTTCTTTCGTATTTGGGTTAGATTTCTTGTCCACCATTTTGTACTTTTTCAACTTTCTATAAATGAAAGTTGTTTCTTATATAGAACAGAAATACATTTCCAAAATTGACACATTTAAGACATGTTGGTCGGCATATGTACTTTTACATCAGAACATCATGAATTTCAATTTACTTAAATTAATCTACTATTATTAATTCTGATGTTTAAGTTCATCATTGCCCTTGCTATGCAAGTTAACTGGGAAAAAGATGCTTTCCCTCCATTAATCTTCATGTTTGGGGTGCTGGTCGTTAAACAATTTGTCTTTTCTTAAACTTTTCATCTTGCAAGGAACAATTACACAAACTTTTTTCGTAGTTCTACTCAAGGATGATTCCTTTCAAGTGTACAGCCTTTGTCTTTTGTTGTTCTGTATTGACGCTAAAGCTCCAGAAGCATAGGTTATCTTATATTTCATTAGTGATGATTAACCCTCCTGTTGTTTGCAGGTGTCGTGAATGAAAGAGTTCGGGAAGCTCATCAGAATAAGTTTGCACCAATGATGATGCTTTTTTCCAGGTTATTACTGGAGCATTGTGGTCCACTATGGTTTTGTGACTTAATCATCTGATCTGTTCCCTAACCTTAAAACTGCTCTGATTATTCCCCACCTATAGATTAAATATGACATAAGACTATACCAAATACTACTATGGCATAATCTATAGAAACACACTTATGGGCTTGTATGTTGTACCAATTTTTCAGGATTTTCAGCAGTTGCATTTTCCTAGGCCGTGTCATATATCTTAATAACTTGGTTGAGATTCTCGTGGATGTTGGATCTTGTGAAACAGCTCTTACCTATGTTTCATCAGTTTATTCCACAAAAATTGGTCTTGTAAATCAGTTAAGACACGAAGTGTAGTGACCGACTTATTTTAATTTAGTTCCGCGGCATCTTTGCTCCTCTTTTTTTGTTTAGAAGAAAGCCTTTGAAAGAAAGTAATCTGGTTTCTTGCCTTCATACTAGGATATAGTTCCACCTTAGAAAGAGGGTATTGGTCCATGTTTAAAAGCACTGTAAATTCTGTTTGAAGGTATATACGCGAATAATGTTTAGAGCGTACAACTTGTCTGTATAAGTGAAATTGTCCTTTCGGTGTTTCTCACACAAGGAGCATTCCATGGAGTTGACACAAGGAGTTGCACCTTCTGTGAATCCCTGTAATCTTGGATCCAATGATTGAGAACAAAGCATATATTTAGCTGCCCTTAAATGGGTTTGCTTTATTTTGTATCTTGGCTCTGACTTCTCAAGTTCTGATGTAAATTACTAGAATTTATGCAAATGGTCAACAGTATGGAAATAATGTTATTGCTCTCCTTCTCTACGGCTTTTATGATCGAATTGTTGTTGTCCATGGATATAAAAGTAGCTCAACCTTGCCTTTTTCCCATTCTTCTGGAATCCACATGTTTGCAGCTTGATTATTGGCTAATTGTCTTCCATGTCAGTATTCACATGCAAATTATGGCTATCTAACTGTTTTTTTCTTTTACTACAGAGGGGACAACTACAAACGGAGACTTCCTCCTTCCATTTAAGACTGGTGCATTTTTGTCAAAAGCTCCTGTGCTTCCTGTGATTTTAAGATATCCATACCAGAGATTTAGTCCGGCCTGGGATTCCATATCTGGGGTAGTTTCTATTTTACAACACAACTTTTTTAGTCTTGATCGGCCTGGGTATTGGTGGTATGACTCACCTTAGTCAAAGTAATTTAGGCTATTGCATATAACTTCATGGTTGCATGACTTTGCACTAATTATTTGTGAAATCAAGATTGGATATTTTTGTTTACTGGATGATATCTGGAACCTATTTGGACTGGGGCTTATCAAGGATTCATTGGCTATTAATATAAGTCATGGTTATTATAATCTGTGGTGCATTTTTATTTTTCTACATTGAGTTTCAGTATGTCTCTTAATTTTCAGGTGCGCCATGTGATTTTTCTTTTTTGTCAATGTGTAAATCACATCGAGGTGACACGGTTGCCTGTTTACTACCCCTCACAGCAAGAAAAGGATGATCCAAAGATTTATGCTGATAACGTCCGAAGGTTGATGGCTTGTGAGGTATAGATTGATTTTTTTCCTTGAATGATTCTGTTTGGCTGTCTTATACCTTTGAAAGCAATGATAGCCACACACTCTTATCATATGCCAAAAGCACTCTTATTATATGCCAAAAGCATGTGGTTTGATTTGTAGTTTCTGTTGTGCGCATGCAGGGTAATTTGATACTGTCAGATATTGGTTTGGCAGAGAAACGAGTATATCACACTGCTCTCAATGGTAATAATAGCCTGCCTACTGTTTTGCATCAGAAAGACGATTGATATTTGGGCTCTCAAAAGATATCTAGTTCCAACTTGGGATTTTTAGTTCACGTAGTGTTTACTTTCAACATACTGGAACTGAGGGGTGGTCATTTCCACCCTCTAAACGAGAAAATAATGCTGTGTTATCATACCCATGATATTCTCTCATTTCCGGAACAATGGCTAGTGAGCAGACTTTGTTGATGTTCCTGTGGAAATATAAAAGCATCCAGTTTAAGAGCTTCTTGGGATTAAAGTGGTGTTCGTTTCGAGTATTTGATTATTTACTGCCTTAGAAGTGTCTTTCGGGAGAAGAAAAATATGCATCTGTTAATCTGAAGCATCTCTTTTTTTGTTCCTGCAGGTTTGTTTTGTCAACAGTAATTCGGACCCGCCATCTGTATATAATCTTGAATGGTTTTTTTAGTTACAAAAAAAAAAAAAAAGGAAGTAAAAATTGCATATAGAAAATTATGACCTGACATCTTATTTTCACATTACATTTTGAAATGTATCTCCGGGCTTCCTATTGCTGCAGCTCTTTGGTGGCATTTTGAAAGCTCCATTTGAAATTGGTTCACTTGGCATTTGGCTACTCCAGGACCGGAAAGTTTGATTCCAGCAGCTACTTCTGTTTATTTCAATGTGTACCATGAATATACGTACACTTCCTCAAGTAGCTGAATTTTTGGGTGGCAAATGGTATTGAGATGTGTTCCTTATATCTGGAGTTATTTCTTTGTGATAGGGCTGTCTTGGGTATCATATTTTGAGTTTCAATTACTTCAATCTAGTTGGAGTTGGGTGGACTCGACATGCAATCAAGATAGATTTGGTTTGAGTTTAGTTTTAGCAAGTTCAAAATCAATATACCAACATGAATATAGAGTTTCTCGTTAAACATAATTTATGCACATAGCGAAATTGATTATATACCATTATAAAATGTGTTAAAGTCGAGCAAATTTTAATACGACACCTTAAACCTAACACAACCTGAGTCAATCCATTGTGTGCTTTAGGTGAAATCAATCATCTGCTCTCTCTCTCTCTCTCTCTCTCTCTCACACACACACACACACACACACACAAACACACACACACACACACACAAGCAATGCAGAAAGCTGGAAATATCAGAGTCTCTGTGGCGGTGTACAATGTAATCGTGCAGCTAGGGGTGAAGCATTCCATATTTACGGGTAAATCTCAAAATTTGGAATTAACTTGGTCAAAATTAATAATTTTTGGTATACTTCTAAGAAACCACATGTATACCAAAAATTATACCCCAAATTTTAATAGGGTCGAGGACCCCTTTTGGCTAGTGGCTGTGAAGGAATACTAGATCAGACACACACAAGCTTTAAACTGAATGCTCCATATGCAGAAGTTAAGAGGCCTAAAAAAACCGCCTACAACTGCTTGGCGGATAGATTTTTGACATCCTCACAAAGAATCACTGAGAAAGAGAGAGAGAGAGAGAAACCTATTGGAACAACATCATTTTACAAACATTCCCCTTCCTAAAGCTTATGTGGCTTGCTCACCTAACCCATTAAAAAACTTCCCAACAGTCCTTGCCAGGAAGATTTCAAGGAAACATGATATGTGAAGTCCCTCTTCAATCTTACCTTTCCTTCAACGACCCATTGTTTGAGCGTCTCAATTCCCATGGTGGAAAGCAGCCTTTTAAGGGTGACTGTAGAAACATAGAAGATGTTGACAACTGCCTCTGCCTTGTTGAGATCGAAGACAAGCAACTGAAGGCACTTCGCAGCCTTCTTCTTTCACTATTGTACGCTTGATCATTAAGGTCATGTTGCACAGCAGAAATTTTGAGCGCTTCTGGCAGTAGACAGTTGAAGATTGAACCTGAGATGACAGCAAGCAGAACAAGGAAGATTACCCTATTGTATCACTTCCTTAAAGGATGATATTATGCAGAAGAATGATAACAATCCTTTTGATGAGACCACCTCTCAACAAGGAGATGAACTCTGATCCCAAATGTTCACAAAATTGAAACACTGCAGTGGAAATCAGAGGTAAAATTGACATTTCTGTTGACAAAAAAGGAATCAATCTTAAACTTCCATTCCCTACACACACCCTATTGATTTCTAGCAACACATGCCACAAGCATACATGACATACAACCCTGATTGGGAGTGGGGGTGGGGGGTTGTTGGAATGACACAAACGAAAGCACCACAGGAAGTGTTGTCTGGGCAGGTGGCTCTTATTCCACAACACCCCCCCCCCTCCACCCCAAAAGAAAAAGAATATCAGAACCACTGCAATATAGAAAGAGTAACTTATTGCTGTTGAATTCAGCTCACTTGTTTGCCAGAGAGATATGTAACAGATTAGTTAAAAACAAAAAACTGAAAAAGATGAATATCCTGGTCAGTTTTGCAGGGCCAACAACCGGTTCTCATTCAGCAGGAGAAGGGAAAAAAAAAACTTTTTCTAAAAAAAATGAACCAAGCTGCAAATATGGAAAGCTAATTTCATTTTTGAAACTTTAAAAGGTAACAAGAAAATTAAAAATGAAATAGATTTAAGGACCGGGGCAGGTTTCTTCTCTCATTATAACAGTTCACAACAAAACAAAGCAAGTGTAGCAAAACGTTGGAAGCAAGACATGAAAAGGTACGAAGGGTTATAAATATAAGTATATGTTTTCTTGTTCTAGAAAAGGCCCTGTTCTATGATGAAGGCGAGCAGGTAGGTGGTAGGAGCTAAGGGAATAAGAAAGCCTTCTACACAATTCAGAAGGCTATTTAATTCATACAATAATGGATCAATTACATTCAACAAGTCGAGTATGGTTACTGCAGAAAAAGTACCTAATTTTGCCAGTCGATTTACCCATTTTGGGATCGGCTTTCCTGTCAGTTTGTAGCAAATATCCTTGCAGAAATGGTTGCAATTCTTGATAATTAAGTGATATGTATCACCGTTGTAGCTTGCAGCTTGACATTCCATGAATTCCCTTACCTGGACAGGGTCCAAACATGTAGTCCCAATAAATATCGACTTCCTAAACTTGAAACCAGGGCATTGCCGTGGTTCAACCTCAAAGACGCCACTAGAAGGATAGTCATGAGCTCCAAATGCATACTCTACACCATGAACTGTCAAGTGCACATAGGTTAAAGGAAACAAATAAACCCCAAGATGCAAAGCATCACTATGTCCCAAGTCCTGGACACGTAAAAGAAAAGTTCAAAAGGCTAGAGACACCTAACTTAGGTGCATTGTTGGAGATATAAAAACAAAATACCAAGATAACAAAGCAAACAAAGCAAACAAAAAGAACCAAATAAAGTGGGCAAGCTTACCTTCCACACCAGAATGAAAGATACCGAGGCCAGCCCAATAGACATAGCCATTCGTGGGTGTCAAGTCATACACGTTAAGATAAACTGGTGTATTGCCTGGAGCTTGACCAGCTGATTTTGTTTTCGGAAATAAACAAAAACGGGGTGTTGATTTGCTTCTCAAGCGGAAAGGCATCACCGACTTCCATCCTTTCCTTGATCCGAATTTCATGGTGCTTCAAATAGTGAAACTGAAGTCAGTCAAGGCCCAGCGGCATCCTGTATGTATGGACAAATATAAAAGCATAACCCTCAATTCAACAGGAAAACGACATCATACTGAACGCTTCATTTCCAGTTAGCTCATGCTTTATATTCTTTCCAAGTACAAATACCTGATACCCATACTTCAGAGAAGACAAAAGGAAACAGTTTTCCTCTCTTGTATTCTTTTTGAAAAGTTTTCTTTGATTACATTCACTAAGTTATTTTTCATGCTCGACTATTTCTTTGAACAACGGGAAATAATAAATCATCCTCTCACTTTTGCTTCCTAGATTCTGAGCTTTGCCAGATAAGTTGAAAATGTGAAGACTACGGATAAAGCAAGCCTAGCCAGACAATTCAATTATTTTGCCCCATCCCCAACTACTCTTTTGGCACCTCCAATCATTGGGGTATTATAATTGGCAGTCAACTAAAGTAAGTTGACCTTGATAAATTTTTGGTATAATACATAAAACTTTGGGAATTTTCTCTAGAAAGAAAGTCAGCACAGAGACATTGCAAGAAAAAAAAATACTGGGATCACACCAAATTTTAAGAAAAGTCAATAATGAAAAGAGTGGGAGGCCACTAATGTTGTCAATCATCTGATGACTGATATTTATAACCAGCATTTTATATATTGGTTCTTTATCAGTCACCATCCTGACCAAAATAGAGAGAGAATGTCAAATTCCAACACTTGATCAGTAACTAAAACTTGTACATGAAATACCTAATTCATTAAATCTTAAAGTTAAGGAGTGAACACAATAAAAATCTCCATTAGTTTGCAATATTTCAAGAGAAATAAGTATAGCTACCAACATATTAAATAAGAATTCTTAACAAGAGCTTTCCTTCCTTCATGGAATCATGGCAGTTGACCAATGCATTGGAGTGCCAACTACATATGGGGCTTAATACCCTCTTTCAATAAGTGAGTGAGGCAAAATAATTACAAAATCATAGTTCACCTTTAGTTCATGACTATGAAACCTAGAACTAGTGGGTTGCAGCAGATAACCAGTAAATAAAGATGAAAATCGGTTGAAAACTACACTAATTATCCCCAACTATGTTAACTCAACAAATACTACTAAAGGACCTAATCTGAAGAGCTGCATTTCCAAAACAAGACAATTATAAAATCAGCCATTTCACCTTTAGATAACCCAGGAATTGCACCATTATCTCATTACCTCGAGAGGACAACAATAACAAGTGATCAAGAAAAGATTTTAGCATCAGATTTTAGAATCTAAGCAGAATTGTGTTAGATCTTGTTCATACCATTTGCAATTTCAAGAAGAAAGATAAAAAAGAAAAAAAGAAAAATCAAGCAATTCCCAGACTAGTAGATCAGGTAAATAAGTAAGACCACAATTGACCAAAGATAAAGCGAATCCTACATTAAACTTACCTTAAAAACAAGAACTACGAACATGGAATCAAAGAGTAAGTACGATCTTGCAGACATTTTTTTGAGAGAAACCCAGAACATAAATACTCAGAGAGGACGAAGTAAGTCAGGTAAGAGAAGCTCACAGATTACGACAATTAGATTGAAAGCCCAGAAAACCCAGCTTCAGAATAGTATGTGTACACCATTGTGTCCTGATCCTGAAGTGCAAAGGAAAACCACCATGGAAAAGGACTACCAGCTGTGTCCGTGAATTGCTAAACACACGCTCATTTCTGACAAAGCCCTTTAACACACTGCAAATCCTGAAATCACAGGTAAAGCTTTGAGCTCACACAAAATAATGGTAAAGAAGAGAAAGGGTAAGAAGACACCCCAAAGATTTGCAAGTTAAGGCAAACTGGCACAAGTATGAAGACTCTCTCTCTCTCTAACCTTAACTCGCTCTGAAAGTAACAGTTAAGCTCTGAATAAAATAGAGTACTAAGTATTATTAGTGAGTAAACGACCAGGAAGATACAAAGCAAATGAATAGAAATACCAACCGGCTCGTCTTTAGGTCTCTCGTTGGGTCTCAATCGAACATCCTTAGTCTTTAACGGCAGAAGTGGGGCCCCAATTCCGCTGGGTTTATTTTGATTTAAGAATCAGATGCTCTAAGCTCTATCCATTGCTGTAGTTTTTATACCTATATTTCAGGAGTTTTATATTTCAAATTTCAATTTTTATAAAAAAAAATGATTTAGTTTATGTGATTTATACATGATTACGTGTATTTAAAATTCACGATATAACGTTACAAGTCATAAACACGCTAAGATTTTATTATCTTTTCTTAATAAAAAAATTTTTCGCATCTTATATTTGTTATAATTAATACTCTATCAATCACCCGTAATCATAAAATAGATGTACTACAATTTAAGTAAATAGATCAAAATCTCTTTTAGAATTGATTCTTGTCGGTGCTAGATCATTCATTGTATGTTACTTTGTTTGTCATGGCCCAATTAAATCCATATTATTTACTTGGCATCAAACAATTTTTTTTTTTTAAAAGAGCAATGCAAAGTTTTTCATTACGTGATCCAAATTTTTCAATCAATTTGGATCTATAGCGTAGGTTGGTTCGAGACGAGAAGTACACGGGTGTGTTCTAAGTTTTAAGTTTTTTTAACCGTTTTTTTATGTGCATAATTTATAGGTGATTGTGTGAATTCAAACTTTATATTATGACGATAAATTAAAAAGACGTCAATATTAAACCGCCTGCATAAAACAATAATGTAGCATATGAATTGAATGATAATGGAAGCTGGCATTTATGGTTGGAAAGCATGTACATTTAACAACTTAGTCCTATTATTAATATCCGATGGCTTGTAATAAAAAAAAATATGAGTTAGTTTATTGTTGCATTACAATAATTAATACAAATAGTCCAATACAGAGAGGTTTCACCAATTGCCAGCTCTGTTGTGAAGAAGCACCACAGCCGCTTGTGCCTGCCTGCTGCATTTTTTTTTTTTTTTGTCAACGATCAGGGTGTCTGAGTCAACTTACGCACACCACCTATTGCCTTTAAACCCTCCAAAAAAATTGTGTCAAAGAGAACAAAAGAAGAAACAAAGAACTATCTCTCACACGATCGATAAGTTACAACTGTAATATAACCAAATTAAGGGTGCAATTCGGGCGAGTTGGAGGGATTGGATGGGTTGAGAGGTCCATGCTTCAATTTTTGAGTGAACTCTCCGTACACAATTATGCTTGATTTGTATTTGATTCTCATGTTATACAATTAAGGGTGAAATTCGAGTTTCATTTGTAAATGTTCACTCAGTCTATATTCAATTACTTTGTATAAAATTACAACAACGATAATGTTATCGTATGTGGTACCACATTGAAAGATAAGACTCAAAAGAGTTGGTGTTACAATACATCACAAATAATGAAGTTGCCAAATCTTTAATCAGCCATGGTTACCCTATTCATTTTATCGAATCCAGGTATACTCTGTTTCACTTTTCCTTCAATTTTTTCAATATTTGATTACGATCATGAATCCATGTGAAATCCATCATATTCAACCGTTAATACATGGTGCATCATTTAACATTGAAGATAGTTGAAAGGAAAAGGAATTGGAGGTGTCCAAATCAGTTTTCATGGGGCATATGTTGCAAGACAGTATTATTTCACTAGAACATGTCTTCACATTCCATAGTTTTTGAGTACAAAAAACTTTTGATTGGCTGCAAATACCACAGGGCCATTTCCTTTGTACACAAACACAGAAAAAAATAGAAAACAATCTCTTACAGGTTCTGTTCTATTCACATATCAACTTCAGTATGCAGTAAATAAAGAGTATATTAAGTAACATGATATCGACGAACGTCCAACCTGAAATCAATCATGTAATACCTATGCACAGTCAAAAAGGTATTTGCAAGTGCACTTGCAGATAATGAGCATCATTTTCCTTCAGAGGTATTGCCATTAAAGCATTGAACAATCAAAATGCACCCTGTGAATTGAAATGATCCCATGCCTCCTGTATCAAGAATAGTAACTTGTAGTCAAGCATAAGTTCTCGAGGTACACGTATAATATGCATCTACTACACATGAAAATGACTACCATATATAGTGCTTGCTTCTACACACAATTTACTGTCTAATAAACGTCTAATGATTGGCTCATCCTAGTTAGTTGGAGTTCAAACCTTGAACATGGGACCCTATGCAATTTATGTAGGTGCATGATATGACCATAATTTCGTGTAGACGAAAATGAAGATTCCCAAGGGAGTCAAGTCTCAGATGACAGAACCACAATGGATATTGGTGACTAAGTATCACGTTCATTTATCTATGAGACAGATCTTCAGACACCATTTCTGTTGAAAATAACTCTAATTAGAATCAACCATGATTGAACTTCTACCATACAACTGAACAAACGTTGGATACCTGCAAAATATCAAAAACTTTCTCTGCAATGTATATATTATGACAAGCAGCACCCTTCTGCTGTAGCTTATCTGGGTGTAGGCGGAGTAAAGCTTTTTGATATGCTCTCTTCAATGCACTTCCTTCAATTATATCAACAAGCGGAACTGGTTTCCATCCGCTCTCGGGCCAAAGAATCTGTATGCTTGGAATTATTAGTTGGAGAGACAAATAAGTTCTTAGCATGAATCTTGTAGAGGCTATCCATGAAAACAGAAAATTCTTTTTGAAAACAGCTACAAAAGGGCAAAATGAAATGAAGCATATGAAAGTGCAAAGTATCAAACCACAGGACAATAACCACAAAACAGTGAGCTAAGTATCAAGCCTAGAGTCTGTAATTGAGGGGATAAAATTCTTAATGCCTTAGTCAACAGCATTCAAGTTTAATTTTCTTACAATAAGTGACCTCTATGTGGCTCCTTGATGCAAGTGTGAGATGCTTAACAAAATTTAACATTTAAAAGTGAAGAAATGCACGAGTTTCATGAAGAAAGTTCCCAAAAATGAAAATAAGCAAGAAATTAGGTAGTATATAAGGAAGTATTTATGCAGCTTGTGTTCCAAGAGTACCATAATGAGAATGAATTGTAATTAATAAAAGTTTCAGGAAAACAAGTTCCAAACATACATATTGTAAAGTAGATAGCAACGAGCGAATATTCCCTGTTTTCCCATTTGACCATTGCTGAATTTTACCATCCGAAACCTGCAATAAAGTTATGACTTGTAAAACTACTGCATTATATACATATGACAGAAATGATGTAATGAGGAATAATTACTTGGACATCATCATAATCTTCGCCAGTTTGTAGAAGTTTATCATGATCATGTGCTAATTCTGTAATCTGTCCATGAGTCGCAAGCAAACTAGCTTATCAGCAAAACAATTGCAATGATAAAAAATTGAAGATTCGCCTGCATTAGTGACCAGCTATGCATGGTATCATCAAATGTTCAAGAATCAATAAGATTGAGAATCGCCTATGAAGACATCAAGTAGAATTTGGAACGCGGCGTCATTAACATGACAACCAATTTTGAAAGATAAAATCACATACCAGGAAATTTTCCTGAAAGAGGTCGTCTATGTTTCCAATTGTAACCTCAGAAACGTCAGGAAGTGATTCTGAAAAGTATATAAAAGTAATGAGACATAATTTATCTCCAAATAGTATTGAGTTTGGAAAACAAAAAAGTGAAATATGATTACAAATACAAAAAATTGGAAATATGTAGTTAAAGTACTCAAGGCTACTTTCAAAATTATACGCATTCCATCACCATCCAATGAAACAAAATACATACTTCATAACATAGAAGCTCATAGATATGTGAATGCATGTACTTAAATGATTTAAAGGCGTCTTTTCCTAATGTGCTACACTTCAATATAAAGGTGTATCATCAGAAAAAGCTTTATGGATCAGAAAAAGAAAAAAAAATCAGGACCAATTTTCACTAAAGAAGGATCCGTGTTAGCATCAAACATTAGTACAGTACCCAACTTCTTTACTTTCCTGATTCTGCTTTCTATTCGCTGACGATGACAGTAGACCCAATGCCAAGAACCATACAGCCTCAATATTTCTTGGTTAACAGAACATGAGGGAAAAAAGAGATTATTCTTCTCATGTAATTACACTAGTTCCGGGTTTTAACATTTACAGAAGGAAGATTTGAACCAACCCAAATATGATGAAGCATCCTTCTGACAGAAAGAATTATCACTACTGATCGTGATCTTTCTGTTAGCATGTTCTTTTTCTGACTGTTTAGGAGTTTGATCCACCTGAAAAACATTAGAAATGTAGAATTACAAAATGCAGGACAAACAAATATTTTCATCTAGGAAAATATTTAACTCCATGTACTATTGTCTGACTGAAATTTATTCATTTTCAGAAATATGAGGGGTATCAAATTGTTATAAGTTGAATACCCTGGAGGACGCATCTGGCATCTCATTCACCTTGGGGGAGTGTGATTTTTCATCCATTCCGGTTGTGCAAACATTTACTACATTATCTGCCCTGTAAATGCATGTGCCCATCCATCTACAACTCTGGGTTCGAGTGACATTGATTATGGGTTTTGCCAAAGCTTCCTGATCGAAAATCTTAACAAATTCTTTGACCTTTCCATTTACTGTGCTCCTCCCTAGATTGTCTCCTGAAGTTACGGGTAAACTTTGGCAGTTAGATTTATCCATGTCTGCACTATTTGAATTGATTATATTTCCATCATTCTCCTTTACAAGTATACTGGCATCAACATTTGGATGAGGCACTCTAGTCATTTTCTCCACTTCTTCTTTCACTTCATCCTTTTGAGTTATTTGTTCATCTCCTGCACACAAGAGAACAAGGTTAGTGTTATGTACAGCCAAAGTCTTCCTATGTGCCTAATTTGAAACATATTTACCTTGTGCCTCGAACTCCGAACTCAGAGACTGCACCTCGGATTTGCCTTCTAGTGTAACCACGAAAACTTCTTTGTCTATCACAGGCAAAGGTTGAGGCTTTGTTTGTTCTCTTTCATCACCAGGTAGATTGTCAAAAGTACATTGAACGCTCTTGAGGGATTCTGATTCTGGCATGTAAAAAGCTGCTCCCTCAACGATTTGACATGGTTCTACTCTAATTTGGTTGCCCTTTTTGACTTGGTTCCTCCCTTCCATTTTCGAGGACTTGGTATCTGATGATATACTGTGTTGGAGAAAGAGACGCTCAATACCACGCAGTTTTCCTGTTGGAAATTTTCCATCACTTTCAGTTCTTCCATTAAAGCTTGAGCATCTCAGAGTTTTAGCCTTCTCTTTTGATTTTGAACCATTCCCTCCCCTAAGAGGCATCAGTAACAGTACTCCTCTGCCTGCCCATTTGTACAAAGAGGAATGAAATCGACTGCTATTGGTTAGAGCATCTGCATCTTTTGAATCCTTTTTCAAGTTGCATCCTAATTCTGTTTGATCAGATTTGGTCATATTTAGGGAGTCCTCACTGCTAAGAGAGAATTCATCATATGAAAGGCTCTGACAATAAGAATGCTGAGTACCATTTTTCAACTCAAACTTTCTCAGGATTGCTTGGTTTGATAATCTAGAGAGAGAAGCACTCCTAGTACACGGATGGCCTGCCCCATTTGGAATGCTGCCCTTGTACATATGTGGGCTACCATTGCCAGAAGCGAAGACAGGAAAGTCCATCGTGTTGATCAATTTGGCTGGAAGACTGAAAGGTTTGAAGGCATCTCAAGTGAAGAAATTAAATGTACACAACAACAGGGGACAGAACAGGGAAGCAAAGCTATAAACACAATACTTGTGTGAAGAAAAGTTGATATAGAAAAAGCAGTTGTGTAGAACCATGTACAGAAAGAAATATGCAACAAAAGAATATTTAATCTAAACAAATTTGAGAAAGCAAATAAGATATCATCTCTGAAACAATTATCTAGAAAATTCGAGATTGGTTAACCAACTCCAACCCAAGTCCATGAACCCTTAATACATAAACATTGTCTGAAATAGTAAATTCCTCAAATTTCTAAAGGATGATACATAACCAAGGGAGGCACCAGAGAAAGTAACATCAAGATACGTATAGTAATGCTAATGCAACATAAACTTGAATAATATTAATACATCAACCGATGGGAATTCATGCATTAGCACCGTGACAATCAAAACCAAACGGGTGACATCAACATAGAAAAAATTGATATGTTAATGACAGATGTTATCCCCCGCGCAATTTGATGACATATTAAAAAGATTGCAACACTGCTGGATGAGTTTCTAGAGAGATGATCATATATTCAGATTAACTCCAAACAAAAAAAAAAAAATTGAGATTAAGAGCAATAAACCAAAACCTGAATGGAGCAGGAAATGAAGAGCCAAAAGGCTCAGCTTTGAGTGGCAAAGGCCCTGAAGGGCTTAAAACCCTTGAACCAGGTGTCGAATCAAAAGAATCCCGATCAGTTCTTCTAGGTGAGCTGTAAGCATCGTCACCTCTAAATATATCAGCATAGAAATCATCACTTGGGTATCGGCTGCGATTAACAATTGGGTCACCAAACACTGGTTTTTCACTCTGGCCGCTGAGACAGCATCGCGTTTCTTGCATCGAAAAGCGCCTTGGTGGTCCGCCAAATACGTCATGGAAATCAATGTCAGAGTTACTGGTTAATGTTCTCGACGAAGAAGAACTACGGTTTTGAAACGATCTCCGAGTACTATATCCCAACAAACCATTCTCTCTCTGGGTAAATCTCTCCATACTAATATCAAATCAACCACTCTGGTTAAACTGCCATTTCTTGTAGCAAAAGAAAATCGAACCCAATGAACAGAAGCTGAAAATTCAAGCAAGAAATTGGCGGGAAGGTCTTGAACTTGATTGGAGTCGGAAATTCTGGAACTATCAACGATGGCTCCAACAAAACAGTAAAGCCCGCTCATAATATGTATGCATGGATATTGAATTATTTCTTGAAAATGTTGTGGCTGAGAATCCATGGAATAATTGTAGACTAATTTCAGGTTTGAATTTTCAAAGAAATTGTCAAATCCTGAGCTTTCGAAAATGAAATCAGGGAAGAAGAAGACAAATAAAGTGGGGTTAGGAGTGAGAGACTAGTGAGTAGTGAGGATTGAAGGCACAAGATCGTGGTAATGATCTGTTTGAGTGGATAAGAACTGACATATATTCCGAGCCGCCAAGGAAGGTCGTTGGACATTTTTTCTTTTCTATCAAAACTCAATTTTCGGGTGAGCTTCCCCATGTCTAGATTAATTATTTTTTCAATTCAATCAAAAATATACCATTTATGGCGAGAGCAGGATATTTACGAGAAATATACTCATCATGATCTGATCTTAAAAAATTATTAAAAATTTTAAATTCAAAATATTTGAAATTACGTTCGTCATTATTGTCATTCCATTTTTGTTAGAATTATTGGACCTATTTTTCTAGATAAGAATTTATTTAATTTTTCTTGGCGTCCATTGCACAGGATTTTGTGTTATACAAAAGAAGAGGGGTCAATTTAGATAGTGGGGAGAAATATTATACGGATGAAAGAATGAGAAGTCATGATTCCAAAATCTTGGTATTATTATCCATCTTATCTTTGGCACTACACTAGCATCCAACCTCTCAGGGGGTGTTTGGATGGCTGGATAAAGATGAATACACCGCGTTGGATTGAATAAATATGTTGTGGAGCCCATTTATCCCAACTTTGACAATGCTTTTGGAGGTCGGATATTTGTAGTGTTTGAAAAATTACAGCCGTAATTTTTTGAGCCAATTAATCCCCTCTCATTTGGACAAGTGAATTCCACCAAAACTTTGGGATTCACTTTCAGCCGACAGGATTACAAATTGATTTTACCATTTCACCCTTGCCCAGCAGAATAGTCACCAAACTATAGGATTTTTTATCATCTTCTCCCTCTTTTTTGCACTAGTCCCCATCCGTTGGTCCCCATCAAAGCACGGCTCCGAGGTCATTGGCAAGGTATGTTTTTTTTTCTCTCTTTCTCTTTTTGTCTCTCTCAGACAGTACACTGAGTTAGATTTTTCAAGAAAACCAAGAATCGACCAAGAATGAGGCAAAGCACAAAGAGTCAGGGAGTTTCTAAGGGTGGTTGCCCCTCTCTGTTCACCGGCCGATGATTTCACATGTAATCGAAAAATCAACAGCCCTTTATACACATCGTACCACCCAATATTTACTGTCTCTCTCTCTGTGGACATATCTATCTATCTATATATGTCTATGTATATGTCTGCCAAACACCATATATGAGGCGGTGTTGATGAAGTTTTCAAAGAAACTTATTGTTTGAGCTTACTGGTTTCTTGGCGGGGCAACTCAGAAGATCTGTGAGAGGAGAGAGGGAAATGGGTTTTGCCTTATTTTTCTTATTTCTCTCACATGGCAAATGAGTTTTTTTCTGCAGCAATGGCGGTTTAGCCTCTACCTGATAAGGGTTATGGTCAAATACTTTTGAAATTTAAAACTCTGCACCATGCAGTCTAGATCATCTGTTTTATTGCAGCAGGTGAACAAACTCCCTGAGAACCTAAGGTCTATTAATCCAGCATCTTGTATAGTTGAGTCACAATCACCAATTGCCTGACTGAATATACTACAACCTCCTTGGATTGCAAAAGTATTACCTCACTACATTAAAGTCCCCTCCAAATAGTTGTTGTGATGTAGTAAACATGTTTTGGTCGTGTATTTGATGATCATTTACATATGGTGTATGAAATATTGCATTTAATGTTAGGTAATATAAATGTAAGTAGCGTTGAGTAGTAGCAGTAACAACTTTTTTATTGTTGTGCAAGAAGCTATGAACAGGAACCAAAGGTGGTACGTTGTGTTTATTGGACGACGGACTGGAATTTATCAGTCATGGGTTGAGTGTCATTCACATGTCAATAAATACCCAGGTGCACTGTACAAATCTTATGATTTTTATAATGATGTGGCAACTGCATTAGCCATGCACAATGCAACGCAAGTAGTACCACCTGAACAAGAAGTAGCAAATGACATGGATGTCCATGAAATTGGACCTTTGGAAAATTTTATTCAAAAACGGCCAATGGATAATAATGAACATGTTGTTGTACTGGAATATAGCGGGTACAAGCATGACATAATTTGGTGCATGATTAGTGTAGTAATGTTTATATTGGGTATCGTCCTCACCCATATTGTGTACTCGGTTATGGGTAGAGTTGGTTGACTTTATGTTTTTAAATTAATGATTTTTCGTATCATTATAAAGAACTTAGGAGAATGCCTAATGTTTGTAACTGAAATGGTTTTTGGATTTTAAGTGGAACATATATATGGTTGTGATGTAATATCATGTTTGTGAGTTTGAAGTACTTATGATTATCTACGTATTGTGTAGAAATACTGTCAAATATTGAATATCATTTATATTGTTGTTTTTACCATAAATCATATTCATATTGTTCTAATGAATGATTGTTATGACTGTAGTGCTTAAATGAAGATACCAAAAATAATTGAGGATGAGACAGATGTTTTGATAGACACATTGATAAATTACACAAATAAAGGGAAGTTACCTCCTTTTGGGAGGTACGACACAAAATTGATAGACGGGGATGTTGGCCACGTTGAATCGACGAATGACAATGTTCAGGTTGTCCTTCACCGAGCTCATTAGGATAATATTTTTTTAGGAGAGACAATATCATACGATAAGTAAGATGGTTGACAGTTGTTTATTTGAATGAGATCTTATAACAAAATGTGTGGTGCACAACTCAATCATACATCAAGCAAATAGATTTTTGGAAGTAAGTTATATGTTTTTCACCTTTCGTATGTACTTGTTTTAATTACGCGCATGTTTATTACACATCAAATTAGCACATGCTTCAAATTTACACATGTAGGAAGATGAGTTCGCTGCGATGTACTGCCTTGCACCATGCGAAAATTATCAATATTTTGACGTTATATTCAAACGAGATGAAGCTAGTTCAAGCAATCAAGAATTGGATAGTGTTGGGTCTTTCCCGTCAGTCAATTCTCCAAGCCAAGTCGATGTTCTAGTCATCGATGATTGATTTGGCCCACAATGGTTATGTTCAAGATTCGCAGTTAATATGTAACCAATGTGTAGTTGTTTTGTGTATTACACTTGGTAAATCCCACAACCTATTTTGGTAATTACGCGACTTCGTTTGTGGTTGTGTATGATGTAGTAAATATGTGCGTAAATATCTTTAATTTACCATTTCAAATATGTTGCCTTTATTTTGTTTGTATAGGTTAAGGCAATTGTTTAAATGGACAATGACTGTATGGTGTATGACGTACAATGCCTTATAATTGTGTGTCTTTTTATGTATAACGCAACGATTCATTAATTATAATGTTCATGTTTATTTGCTTGATATTCAAAGTAGTTCCCACTTGGACAGTTGTAATACAAATGAGCTCCACATTCGTCCAAGCCACCTACAAGCAGAACAATGACACATTCGTCCAAGCCATCACCAGATTCGTCCAAGCCACTTAAACATGTAAGCTTCATTTTTTTTTCCACAAGAACATTATTAATATAAAAGAAAATGAGTTGATCTACCGCCATACAAAACATCAACATCCTCAAACCAGCATCACTACCACACCATCCAAAAAAATACATAAATTTTCCTACCATTTCATTTAAATAGTAAAGGGGTAATTAACATTTCCCAATCCAAACATAACATAAGATTGAATAGGATTCAAGGGTAATATTGTCAATTGCTATCAAACATATGACATGTTTTAAAAATAAGATATATTTTATCCATGGGCCCACCACATCATAAATTAGTTACCAAATCTGAGATAGGATTGAAAAAGTAGTTTTTATACTAATCCCGGTTATTGGGATTTCATTGGATTGGTTAGGACTTTAAATCCAATCCAATGCAGTCCAACCTTGATTTGCCAAACATGCCCTTAGTTGTTACTTCGTGACGTTCGTATCTTAGTTTTCATTGTAATTTATCCTACGTTCATATTTTAATTTTTATCGTAATTTATTTTACATATGAAAAGATTATTTTTTATTATTCAAACTATGACACCTAGATCATAATAGTAATCTGTATTTATATTGGATTCGGCTCCTTTGTTATTAATTTTTAATAATAAATAGGTTGTTGATAAATGCAATATAATTTTACATCAAAATGATGCCAATCTATTTAACAAACGACGTCATTTTGAATCAAAAAGCCGTTTTAATCAGAGAATCCTCAGCTAGGTTGGCAATGAATTGCAAATCCTTGGTCCTTTTCTCATAAGATGGTTTATCAATGCTTTAACTAACTATATGCTGCAAGAGTTTTGATCATAATAATACTGATTTGGTACACTGTATTGGGAAATTAACCAAACCACCACCCTAATCCCAACTCAGTGGTCATCATCACAACCCACCTCCCCAACATTCTCCATTGTCTCCGGCAAACTTCAGGCCACATGCACTGAGCACCACACCATCAAATTGCAAAATTTAGAACTACCTGCATTGTAAAATCCCAGACCTAAGACTATAAGTCACATCGCACCACATACCTTCAACAGTACAAAACAGAAAAAAAATTACAAATCTTAACAAACCCAAGTCTTAAAGATCACTACTATGTAACATGGTGAAAGGAGTGTCACTTTATAGATCTTGTGTAACGGCAAGTCACAACATTGCCTGCCAATTACCAACCATGGCTCAGTGATGAACGCGGTGTTAACAAACTAATTTTTTGAAGCCTTTTATTTTGTATAACATAGTACAACCATTTAAAACATACAAGTCAAAAGGTGCACAAACCTTGAAAAGTAAAGGACAGTAACAAGAAATTCAATTACCCATAGCTCCTGAAAGGTATGATCCATTGATACTGCCGTGTTCAGGGAAAATAGGCAAGAAGAAAAATGCTGTGCATCTTTGCATTCTAAATGTCTCCCGCAGCATCTACCAATCAGAACCATCAGGGAAAGGTTCCAGTGCATCTTGCTTGCCGTTAACACAGAACTCAAAAACTGCTTTCATTCTTGGAAGTTTATCTGGATGATAACTCATATGGACGATAACTGGTTTGAACTTCTTCAGTTTAGCATATTTCCTTACAGTCTTGCAAAGGACCTTGCTATTCATGAAGAGATAAAAATCCATGGTTCTTTTGGCAGCGTGAAGCCCAGCATAACCCGGATGGGAAGGGAAAAAGAGTTCTTCGTTGAAGAGTGCTTGATCCCAAGAGTTTGGCAGCTGAGCAAGCCGATCAGCCACGCGATCTAAAAGCTCAATTGAGGGAATGGTAGGCCTTATATATAAAAAACCCGAACTATAGACCCAAATTCGCATGGTGTGAGCATATCGAGCCCAACCCATTGCAGGTTCATCAAAAACATCATTATATCCATATGCTGTCATATTATTATGACCGTCGGTCATGGACTCTACATCTGAATCCCGATACAGATGATCAAATGGGTTCTGCAAGTAAACTATATCAACATCAGAGACGAGGACACTATAACCCAGCTGCAAAAACTCCCTCAAGATACGGAACTTTAACCCTGAGACAGCATGGTTACTTCCGGTCTTTCCAACCGAATCAATACCCTCATCTTGATCTCTCTTGTAGACAGGGACCCCATTTGACTTGCAAAACTCCTCAATCGCATCATCCAATGCCACGACCAAATAATGGCGAATACCCACTTTCTTAATGCTAGGAACCAGACCTCCAACATTGATTTGACATTCGAATTGGCAAGTGCAACTATTAGTTCTTTCCCAATAGCAACCTCTGCCAATATCTTGGCAAGTCAGGGGTTCACGGATTCATCAGGATTGACAGCTGGGTTAGTCCTCAAGCCCTTAAAAGTACCAAAAGGCCCAAATTTGCGAGGTTTACCAAACACCATGCCCTTCTCCTAAGCATGACCATTTCGCATCCTTGGCTTTTCATTTAGCTCCCTAACTTGCATCGTCAACTTAGCATTCTTCTCCATCAGACTCATGATATCTGATTTCAACATGGTAACACATTCGTTCGATTCACAATAAGATGAATCAACCTACAAATAACAACTAGAATTTAAGTCATTTGTACAACAAACCTTGACATCCCGTCAATTACAAAAAATCGAAGTTATCATGTTTTAGCCAAAAACTGAACATGAAGCCGAAACCACCAATATAGATCAAAACATCATTGTGAAAACATGAGAATGGGACATTATTTTCAAGTTGTGAGGTCACTCTATCAGCTAAATCAAGAAATCAATAGCCAATTGCCCATGTGAGCTAATATTAGTCTTGCCATACTCACGACTCCCAGCTCAACTTCCTCAATCTCTGAATATGAATTACTTTTATGACTATTTTTTCTTTTACACATCAATGAACACCGCAGTCTTTCCCAACTCACACTATCACTTAGATTTGAAAAGCTAAACAGCACGAGTGAAATCAACCACTTTCAAAGCCCCTATTACGCATACATACACATATTACTCAAACACATACGTATACGTTTTGTGTGAATCATATGAGTATTTAGTGCTTTAAGGGAGATATTGAAATACCTGGAGATTGAATTTGTGAAGTCTCCGTACGGTTGACCCCCGTTCGGAAGTGAAAAATCCATTAGAGTATAAAGAGGCGCATTCGCATCCGACGATAACCCCGATCGCAATTGAAAAGGCAATTCCAGATCAATTTACCGATTGGTTGTTTTACTCTCTACAACCCGCCATCCCCATGTTTAGTCCACCCCAAGAATCAGAGAGAGAGAGAGAGAGAGATTCCTCTATTACAAGGTCAACACCTTGCAATCTTACAGTACAGAATTTAAGTAATTCCTAATCAATCATATATTTTATGATTAATCATGAATTATAACACTATTTATTAATAGTGTAGAAACAAAATTAGAGAATATTCTTAAACCACCCCTTTCGTAATCGGTGAATCAGATACGCAACAATTAATAAACGAATCAAATATGAATAAAATCAATTAAAAAAATACACAATATACCTTGTTTATATACCGATTATATATACTATTCATACAAAATATGAATCTGATATAATCCATTTTGTTATATACGAAATGATTTTTTGACACAAATCAGCTTATCCATGATTGACAAACCCTGCCTCAATCTCTAAACAAAACGGCAGAGAATAGGCCAAAAACTAGTATTTACAATGGTAGTGAATTGAGAGAAAATTTAACATTTACAAAAAGGTAGACACATATATTCTGCTGCACGAATCTTCAATGTCAAAATAGATGCCAAGCAATCTAAATGACCTTTTGTTCGAATCCATCAGTGGTAAACCATAGACGAGCAGAAAACAGTCTTTCAACCAGAGCCGCATGCTGAAGAGTTTTTCTACATAACAAAATGCATAAGCATCAGAAGCCATTTCTGTATCGGTTATTACTTGCATATCAAGTAAATCTACAATTGTGTGCGTGTGCGTGGGTGTGTGTGTGTGAGAGAGAGAGGGTAAAATAGTTTGTCTCAAAGAGCAACACAAATCATTGAACTAATAAGGAAGAGTGACAGGGTCCTCATCGACGTAGGTACAGATAGAAAAAATATAGCAGATTCTATTCAACCAACTTGATGCTAAAGTATGTCATGAAGACTAATTGTTTGACAATTGTTTGACAAACGCAATGGATAGAAGGGTATGAACAAGCCAACTGCACAACACTAAGTTCAAAGTCAGTTTCCTGTTTAAGAAAAGCTGGATACACAAAGGATTACTGTGATGTTATTATATAAGGTAATTAATAATTTATGTGTAAGCCAGAAATATATGGGAATGCTTTTATACTTCGCTCTGGAATTTTGGTGGCAATACCTAAGAGTGATGTTCTACAACAGAGGCTAAACATGTTGCATACGCAAACACATACACGAAGAAAACATTACAAGAAATGTATGGATTAAAAGCATATTTAGTCCATCCGGCTCACTCTCAACTTTTACCTGCAAACAGTTGGCCTCAAAATCCTAGAGTTCAATATAAGAGTCCTAAATTCTTATATCCTAGTTTTTGGGATCCGACACAAATTATCAATTGACCAGGTAGGCGTCCGTAGAAAAAGGGTAACAAATCAGACAAAAGGGATCTCGAATTATTGAGAAAAAAAAAGCAAATAAAATAAAATTTTGAAAGCAGGTACGTGTGGTAAAGGTTATTTTTCACATATTAAGTTTGAGGATTTTGACTAACCGAACTACCTGATGCATATACCACTCAAGTTTATGTTTGTGTTAATATGCGTGGGCGTGGAGGAGAAATGCCATTCCCAAAACTGGATTTAGATACTCCTCAGAAAACTAAAATGCATCAAAAAACTGCAATGAAAATGCTTCCAAATGTAAGCATTCACGCACACACCCGTGTGCAAAAAGATAGAGAGAGGTCATACATTGTCGGCACTGGAAATATAGGAAACAACAACAGTAATATCGTCAAGCTTCCCACCATAATACCGGAACCCAGCATCTTGGGCTGCAGCAGAGAATGGTGTCTGCCGGTTCTTATCCTGTGCTCGTTGCCGTGCCAATGCTGCTATCTTCTGAGCTGTCACCTGAGGCCCTAAGCCAGCTCTCATAGCATGTACCACAACCGCAGTAATATCATTGTTATACAGGTTGTCAAAAAGTCCATCAGTGCCAGCAATTATAACATCTCCTGGAGCAACAGGAATTGTAAACACCTGTATCACACAAGCCACTTAGCTTGTTTCTGCATTTCCCCAATAAATCAATTGAACTTGAACAAATAGAAAAACATAATCGTGTATGTTCTGTCTGGTCATAGTGCCTTCAGTTAAATTTTCACAGACATTAATTTTATAACTACAACAGATGATAAGACATGGAACTTGATCATAAGCTGGGAATTTGGTTGGTTAGGAAAACTATGGGTAAACTGTTGAAGGCATGTCACACTAAAAGAAGCCCCATTAAAGAAGGAAGAACCTCCTAATGCAGACAATTTCACCAAAGCAAATAATTGGTTCTAATGCTTTAAGATCAGCTTCCTCATTCACAGCAGAGATAACAGGGGGTACGAATCCCCATCCTTGCTTGCGAGGATGGGGATTAGGAGTCCTAGGATGGATATCTTCCAAGAGTACATTTCAACAAAGAAAGGAAAATTGATGCATTTACAATAACAAGAACTTGTCCACCATATCCATGATATAATGGTTATAAACTGACCTGACCAGAGCTTGGCAAATCACCACCATTACCGCTCTCCAATTGATAAGTGAAATTGAAATCATGCTGTTGTACAGGGGATCGGAATACGGTGCATCCATCTCTAACCACCATAAACCCACTATCCCCTAAATTAATGGCATGGAGACCCTGCATAGGAATACAAAATAATGAATTCAATTTTTTGGGAAGACCCAAAAAGAAGTTTATTTACCATTGCCCCAGAGAAAAGCAACCATACTAAAGATCTTCTCATGTGACTAGTACCAAGACAATTTTGACACGCCAGCATGCGAAAACATTATCCCGATAGAAAGAATGTCAGTTCCTCTTCCCAAGGCAAAAGTTTTTTTTTTTTTTTGGTAAGTATCAAGGAAAAAGTAAAAGGCAACAAAATCCAAAAAATCTAAAGAAAGCAAAAAGTGGACTGACATAAACTGAATTACACTTTGGTCAATCGTTCAGTCCAGCTCGAAAAAACTAGGACCAAACAAATTTCATCTACACATGCAGCAACCATGCAACTCAATGTCATTGGAAACAAGAAGTCTAATACATTCAATAGCAGCACCTTTTACCATTCAGCACAATACAACATACCAAAGGCAACTTAGTCAGGCAAGATAATAGAAGGTGGCTTGCCTTGACTGTAAATAGCTAACCTGATCTGTGAGCGCAATTATGCAAGCAGTTGAGGACCCTTTGGCCTTTGTGCTTGAGTAAGCTTTCTCCAGGACCCTGGCTGGATCGACAGAACCCTTAGGTTCCTCTTGAATGGCATTTACAGAGTTAGACATGAGTTCTCGTGCATATATCCCTGCATTAACACCAAGATCAGCCCAGCCACCCACACCATCAGCAACACCAATTACTTGTTCATCTGGACATATAAAGTGGGCATCCTCCCCTCCAGTTTCTTCTTTTTCAGGATGGGGCAGGTAACATGATCCCGAATGTAGCTTCAGAGTTCTGTTTGCTTGGATATTCCTGGAGTCAAAGACCAAGCAACATGGTGCATGAAAAGACAAACCCTCCACAAATATATCAAGAACCTATTCGTTTTTACTGTTATTTTCAAATTATTTGCTTAGTTTTCTGGCTTGGGATTGCAGTAGCGCTCCATATACATCCTAATCCTATTTTAAACACTTCAGTTGCAAACAGTTCACATATACAGTAGTTGTGCATAATCTTAAGTTATAAATGGTTGTTGACAACAATTGTCAAACAAGTCAACATATTTTTTGTTAAATTACGTAACACACAATAGGCAGATGATTGACAAAATCCTCATTCCTTGAATGCCCCAGGGAACTAATGAGTTATGCAATAGAGAGGTTTTGTGCATGACCCTAAATGTACATTCCCTTCAAATGCAATAGATATTCAAGACCCCCTTAAAAATCAATCAACTATAAATAAGGAGTGTAATGAAGCTAAGATCAAATGACAATAAAAAGATGTTGGAACTAAGATCATATATTTTTTATTTTGTAAAATGTGCCAAGCTAAAACCATTTCACATCTCTACACAGAAAGAAAAGGAGAAAAGGAAGGAAGGAAGGAAAGTGAAAAAGGAGGGGGGGGAACAGCTCAACCTAATTTTAAGTTGACAAAGATAACGGAGATAATGAGAACAGCCTTTTACTTTTATTTCCAATCAACCGGAAACAATGTAAAAGTAGCACCAAGAAGCAGTGCAACAGGCTGTCGGTTATATAATACACAACAGAGGAAGTATCTTAGTCCAATGGATTGCCCACCAAATATCTGGAACAAGTTCACGAATTTTAAAAGAAGGAGCTCGCTTCCTCCAGCTGAAGCTCCCAAATGCAAAACTAGAACTCAATTCAACCATTTAGCATTTTCAAGGACTATTTGTAGCATTTCAGATAAACAAATAGGATGCAAATTTTTGCAACATATTAAGCTCCTCGATCTGTATTATAAACGTATTTTCAAAACTACATTAGAGAACGTACTGTTCAGAAGAATCTGCAGAATTTCCAAGCTGTTCTTCACGCACAGAATTGTCAAAGGACACATCAGGAGCAGTCCCAGCAGATAAACAGAGGGGTGATGTGATGTGGATACCCTTCAATCCAAACCCTAGAAAGGGACTGTGGCTGGCTCTCCACTTTGCTGTATTATATATGAAATACCCATCGATCAAAAAATTGTTTGGTGGTTCCTTATTTCTCAAGCTCATGCTGGTTTTGCTGCAATTGTCAAAAGTTCTATTGCTGTAATAAGAAATAGAAGTACTTGTTGAAACTCTGGGGTGCCCATGCCTGGAAGTTGAATTACTTAAACAACAGTAGGTTACAGAAGCTCTTGAGCCACAAAGAGCCATAAGTGACTTCTGAGAGTCAATTCCCAAAGACAAGTGATTAGGCTCTGATCGCAGGCGATCAACATGATACTCACAAACCTGAAATGAAATCCCTGACACCGATGGAATAGAAAAAGTGCGAGAAAGAGCTCCAACAACCAAAAGATTCTTTCTTTGATTGACTAGATGCAAATTTGATTGAGCAGCGATAAGGGTGCCAGGTCGTAGAAATATTTGCAGGTCCTCAAATGAAATAGAATGGAGCGACCTAGATTTACCATACAACTTCCCCTGGCCAATCAGAACCTCCACCAAGTCCTGGAGTCCACCCCCTTGCCCAACAATAGATCTCTGGACACCCCTCCGGAATGTACCCCCCAATCTTGAGAAATAATTAGATGGCATCTTGCCCTCTCAGACAAGGCAATTCAGCTTCCTGACCTTTACCACAACGGATGCAACCACAAACAAAGTGGACGAAAAATAATATCATAACTCTCACTACACCTATTTACATGTCCCTAGCCAGGACAAACCCCTTTTCTATCCTATTCCAAGAATTCAGAAACCTGAAAATACAACAAATAGAGCAACTATAATCAGAAAAAAAAAAAAAAAGAAGAAGAAGGAGAAGAAAGCCCATCCAATTTGGCAGACAGCATGATAACTAAACAAAATTTAAGTTAGACTACAAGAAACTAAATTTTCAAAACATACCCTTTTGCACAAACTTTGTCACCTTGTTCTTCTCTATAGTAAGGGTAAAGAACACAAATAAATATTCACAACAGGAAAGAGGAAAACTTATACACTACTACAAAGACCTGATAATCATAGCCAAACAACCCATTCTAATAAATAAAAAAAAACTCTCACAAACAGATATAACCACGAATACCGGTCATACCATGAACAGATAGTGCTCAAATCCTATAACCATATCCTCAAGCAATCCTATAATATTCATCACATTAAAAGTTACCATATAAAAAAGGCAAAATTTTCATAAAACAGAAAATTAAAGAACAAAAACTGAAAGCACCAAAACCAAGCCTACCGAATCCGGACCAAAAGATAAAAGCAACGAGTTCAAAATCGCAACTTCGTTGATAGATTGGGAAGAAAGATAACCTTAGCGTGCGCCCTTTATGGTATTTACCGACGATAAACCGATTGAAACCTTAGAATCTGAGTGGCCGCTCCCTATATTCCTCGACTTGCAGATGAAAGCTTTGATAAATCTTCGGCGTCTGATATGAGCAACGAGCCTTTCCAACTTTCTCTCTAAACCCAACTTTCCTTTTAAATATTTTATAAAATTTTAATTATTTTAATTTATCTCTTAAATTATATAATTTATTTTAATCAATCTCTTTTTAATAAAATTAGTAGTTAAATAAGACAGAATAACAGTTAAAAAAGATTATCTTATTTATCGGTCAATCTTAAAAAATAAATTATATACGGACTAGATTGTTTAGGCCCGAAGTGTGTTACCCCCGTCTTTTTAGCCATTGTTAAATTACGCGGCATGAATTTGTCGAAGTTGATTGAAATAAATAATAATAATTAAAATTTAAAATACATTTTAAAATAAAAGTGATACTCTAAGAGCATTTATGAGATTTACTCTAATAAAATCACATGAAACTTTGACGACTCAATTTGGGGACGGCAATTGTATTTCAGTGACGACATTGGCCCTGCATCGCGATTGGTATTTGTGCGAGATGGGGTAGTTTGAGCGGGGTAATTTGGTCATTTTGTTTCCAACCCAACATTCCGGGTCAGTGGGGTCAACTTTTTCTGGTGCTCCACCATTTTCGGTCCAAATTCGTGGGACTATAATGGGATTTTTTGAGGTTGAGAATTGTAAACTAGTGGATCTCATGGTAATAGCAACGTTTTCGGTGTCTGTTTTTTTTCTTTCTATTCTTTTTTTAATTTTTTTTAACGGTCAAAAGTGTCTGAACTAATTTACGCGTGCTTCGAATAATCTTCTTCCTCAACTTAATTAAAAACAGGTCATTTACGTCAAAATTAAGGTATTTATAATAAATAAATCTCTCATGAGAGGCTCAAAAAATTGTTAAAATTCAAACATAAGATGTTTGAGATTATAACTCGTCCATGTTACTACTTCAATTATCCATTAGAATTGTTTTTGATGTATTTCATAAAAAATAAAGAAAGAATAAATTTTAGTGATGTCTAACCCCACAAATTGATAAATTATTTTATTCCAATTCAAATCTAATTAATTAGATAAATTGATCTTTGGTTTAATAATTTAAATTTTACTTTATTATATCATATTTTATGAATTTTAATTTGAATAACTATTATTCAATCTAAATTATAGTTGTACTAACAATAATTCCTTGTTTGAAGATTCTTGACATGTTTATATTTCAAGAATAATTTACTTATTTTTTAATTATCCCAATTTAAATTAAAGTAAATATGGAGAAAATAAAGGAGAGAGAAGAGAGCCGCAAGGGTAAATTAGTGAGATTATTTGATATTCTAAAGTGTATAGATTGAATTGTCTAATATTGAATATCGTACAAAAAATATGATGTTTTTTAGCTAAAAAAACAAAATTTTAAGATGAAAATTATATCATTTAATAAAAATTTGATTAATCTTGATCGTTTTTTATATTTTTATAGCTCAAGGGAGTGTGGACACACCTGCCATGTGGTGATTACAAGAATGACGGGAACACGTTCAAGAATAAATGCTAAAATTTAACCAAGACGAAAGTGTTCTCTAGTTTACCTTGTCTGGGATGTTACACAAACTACAAAACATTTCTACACATATACAAGCAAAAGCACCATCAGCATTTCCACCAACTCTTCAATACAAAATCCTTCTGAAGATGATTTGGGCACCATACTGAGGTTGCATTGTCATAGCCTGCATTGGGGCATGAACATAAGAAGGTGATACTACAAAAGAATAATGCTTGATGATCATAGCTAGGATGATTTTCGCCTCAACCATGGCCAAATTTTGACCCACACAGATTCTGGGGCCTAATCCGAATGGAAAAAATGAGGCTAAATGCTGTCGAGGCTCAGCAAATCTCATTGGATTGAACTCATTTGCATCGTCTCCCCAAATCTCAGCATCGTGATGGATACTAGTCATCGCCAAATATAATTGCGTGTCAGCTGGAATGTCAAGACTCCCTAGCTTCACATTTTTACAGGTTTGCCTCATCAACATCACTGCTGGAGGGTAGAGTCGAAGTGTTTCCTTGAGTACCATGTTCACCTGTTAATAGTACATATTATATTTCTGAATTGGTATAAAAGATTTGAAATGTGTATCCTATGCAACAAGTACAAACCAGACTTACAATTTTCAAGTCAATTAAACTCTCAGAAGTAGGAACCTTATTTTCTCTGCAGACACAAACGACTTCTTCTCGTGCCTTGGTCTGCCATTCCTGATGCAATGCTAGGAGGAGAAATGCCCAAGTCAGAAGATTAGCAGTTGTTTCCTTTCCTGCAAAATAGAATGTCTTGCATTCGCCTATGATTTCCTCTATACTTAATCTTTCTTCTTCCCCTTCTTGATTCTTATAGGCAGACAGTAACAAAGTAATTAGGTTTTTTGAATCTTCCTTTGAATCATATCCTGTTTTGCTGCTAATCTCAGTCAGCATCCTTATCGATTCTCGAGTGTCCTTGTCTAGTCTCCACCTCATTCTATTCTTCTTAGTGGGCAAAAACCTGTACAGAATTTATTTTCAGAGATCAGAAACAATGAAGCTCCACCCAAAATGAGCTAAAAAAAAAGCCCCCCGTCTTCTACACATTTGTAATCAAAACAAATATTTCTCAATCCATTTCCTGCTGATGAAAAAGATCAAGATGGCAAAGAGGGAACAAGACCACTAAGAAGATAGTACTACACATAATGCTTATCCCTGTTATCTCATAAGTTGCTGCATGACCCTGGGAGTCATACAATCTGCTGAAGAGGGCATACACAGGGCACGAGATTTCCATTATTACGAGGTCGCACGCAACCTTACCCTTGTTTCTATAACTCGAACCCGTAACTTAAGCCATAACAAATCTACCGATAATGATTACAAAAACCACCGTCAGATTACTTTATATAACAGGGACTTTTTTTGTAACAAATCTACTGATAATGATCACAAAAACCGCTCTCAGATTTGTTACTTCAAAATCAACAGAAGTACATCAAGACAAAGGAACATGACTATATGTTATATACAAGACCACAAACAAACAACAAATCAAAACAGAAAACAAAGAACACAAACAATTAGGCGGTTTTATTTGAAATCCTACGTCCACAGGCAAAGCATAGTGGCAAAAGTTTTGTCTCAAATATGTAGAATACTCTAAAACGAAAATAAAAGAACAAGTAACCAAAGCTGGCCCAAAATTTCAATATTTATAGCCCCTGATCAACAAGCATAGTTCATGCAGCCGAAGATTGAGCCCTCTAAGGCTTAAAAAATTTCACATTTTGAATTAAAAGGGGTTGTATATGGGAGTACGAACCGAAGCAGAATACAAGCCACCTTCATTAACATATAAAGAGCAATATTACTCGGACCTAATTTGGGGCATTCATATAAAGTATGCTCTGAAAGTAACTCTCATTTCTTCATTCCCAGGGCAAAACAGACTAGCAAACTAATGTGCATTTCATGTGTAATTCCACTTTTAAGTGTAAGAACAGTAAAGCAAGTTCGTGAGGGTGTGCTTGACACAATTGCTAACGTTGCTCCATTGTGATCTAGAAGTTCCCAGGTTTGAGTCACGAAAATAGCTTCTGTGCTTGCAATGATAAGGCTGAGTATATCTAACTCCCTGGTCCTGTGATGATGACAGCTTGGTGCACCGGATACGCGTACCCAACAGTAAAGCAAGTTCATAAGGCTTATTCAATTCCAATGGTTACCTGAATCCAGGAATGTAAACGCTTCGTAGCGCCTGTAAGACGAGGCTGGCTTGCTGTTCTTGCAATTGAAAAATGCGCTTACCCTCTTCAAAACTGCTCCCAAAAGCTGTTCGGGATATTACGTCTGCTGAGAGGTTATGAAGCTCTTTGTGCACCTCCACCTCCATTTCGTCTCTGCCTCCTCTTTCTTCCTCCCATTTATCCAACATCTTTACAGTACTTTCCACAATTTCTGGCATCCAACCCTGCCAAAAACATTTCAGATCATATATGGGTATGTAAGGAGGAGGATGGATGGGATTAGGGTTTATTCCAACGTAATAGGTATGCATAATGTTTTTTTTCAATCTTATACCATATTTATCTTGTAAACTTTTGCAATGCATGTGAATCTCAGGTGAAAATAAGGAAAAATTTCAATCATACCCCTTCTAGTTTATCGTATTTTTAAAAACACTTCTCTTTTTTGAATCGTCATTAACACCCTTATCAGATTGAAAATATCAACTAAAATATAATTTTATTAAATTACCTATTATATATTTGAGAACAAACTTCATTCACACTCCCTCTAAATAAACATATCTTCAATGAAACCCCCTTAAGATAAACATATATTCAATGAGACCCTTCTGCTTTATAATTTTTTTTATGTATTAAAATTAGGGCTGATTAAAATTTGATTCAAACTAATTAAAATTTATTTTTTTACATATTAAAATTTGAGTCGAACAAAAATTATATTTTTTATGTATTAAAATTTGGATTAATTAAAATTCTATTTAATCCAATTAAAAATTATTTTTAATTAATTCCAATCAAATTTCAATCAACTCAAATTAAATTTTAATCGACCCAAATTTTAATAAATAAAAAAATATAAATTTTAATTGGCGTTAATAACTCGGGTATAGTTCAAATCGTTTCAAATTTTAACACAAAAAATAAATTTTAATAAACTCTAATTTTAATTTCTTAAAAAATAAAATTTAATCAGTTTCAATCGAATTTTAATTGGTTCAAATTTTAATATGTAGAAAAATAAATTTTAAACGGCTCGAATTTTAATAAAATTTTATGTAGAAAAATTACTTGAGGTTTATGTAGGGGCATTTTTGTATTTTAAATAAATTTTTTTTGTTAAAAATGGTAGCTTAATAATAGAGGATGTTAATGATATTTAAATATAAATTAGAAGGGAGTGTCAGTGATTTTTTGATAATAAAGGAGGTGTCTTTAAAGATATAGTAAATTATGAGGGGTGTGACTAAAATTTTTCCTAAAAATAATAATTATATTTATTAATTAATTTATATACTATTCAATCTTTGTTAAATTATTATTAGGTTTTTGAAAGACTAATATTATAATTTATTTTCTTGTGGTCACATAGCAAAAAGGAAAGATTTTATTTTATATAAATTCTTGAATTTGAACATTAAGTATTAGGCCTTCCAACTTGTACCCCACTTATTCCCAAACAAACACATTATGGGTTTTTGGTCACAAAGCTGAAATCAACTTACATCAAACTTGACAGACCGTATTTCAGATTTGTACCATGTGGGGAGGGGGAGATAGAGAGAGAGGAGGAAAAAGGGCGCTGTTTTTTATTCGGAAGGATTAATCGAATATACATAAACTGATTTGTACATATTTAATTATTGAACAAAAAAAATGAGAAAAATAAGAGAAATGCTTTTGATAATACTTGCATCCTAAATTTGAAATTCCAAATATGTATGGAGGTTTGGATGAGTGAGTTTTATTGAAAAAAATTATCGAAATCCTTGATCCAAGTGTCTATATTAATTTGGAATCCCAAATTCCTAGTATTGCTCGAATGTTTTAGCCAAGCATAACTTTAAGCAAAGTGAGAAAAAGTATAGATGATTATGTACCAGCCAGCCCTATGTTTTTTAAGCTCTCTACGAATGGGCCGATATGTCGGTACAACGGATCCGATGCCCAGTTGATTGATGGTGATTCTGACTCGAGTTAAAAACACCCATCCAAACTTGATCCAATTTTGAACGTGAATTCAATCCGAATCTTTTAATACGGGCATTGTCAATGTTAAATATTGAAATCAAGTTAAGTTATGATTATACAATTCGGACTAAATTATGAGTCCAATTTGAGTTTAGTGGTGTTAAAATTTGACCTAAATTTTCTAATTCTCATGAATAGGTATATTAGACATATGATAGAAAATATAAAAATCAATGTATGTAAATTTATATTCTAGAGTATTTAGATATTTTTTTTCATCGGGAAGGGTTTGAAAATTTCATATTACTCGCAGTAATAGGTTGGTGCCTTTACGAAGACCAAATTTTGATTAACCCACTAAATTTGTACCCAATCCACTAAAATGAAATAAGGGGTGTGTGTGTGTGTGTGTGTGTGTGTGTGTGTGTGTGTGACAGAGAGATCACCTTAACTTTCTCCATGTTGAAGGCCAGGTTAGTGATCCTTCTATGAACAGCCCACTTCTCACCTGTCAAGCCAACAAGTCCCTCTCCGAAGAGCAGCTTAGACAAAGGGTTGAACTTAACCTTCTCAAACGAACCACAGGTATTGAGCAAAACCTCTTTGATCATGTCAGGTTCGGCTATGGCCAACCTCGGCTTTGGCCCGAACCAATACAGGAACGTCTTGCCATACACCGTTGACCAGTTGTAGTAGTGGGGCATCACTCTGTGAACTATATCGTGGTTGAAAGAGATTGGCCTTGACTCGGCTATGGCGATCATGTGCCGTCTGATCTCGGCTGTGTTTCCGAAGATCAGACGGTAGCTGGGGCCTCCTATACCTTGTTTCCTGAAGTGATGTTGTACTCTAAGTGGGACCCAGATGATTTTGTGTATGGAATTGAAGAGAAAGATGAGAACCAGTAGCAAGATCAAATGAACTGGTACAAAATACATGGTGGAAGCTACGAGTGTGGGGCGAGGGGAGGAGTGGGGCGGGGGGGAGAGAGAGCGGATGGTGGGTTGGTTGGTGATCAGAATTCAGGGAGTGTGGAAAGCTTGTGGACCCCATATTCTTGTAATCGTAAATAAGAAGTCAGTCGGTCAGTATTTAATAGCATATCTGGTTGTATTGGGCACCAAAACGTTCTTGTAAATCATTAAACGAGTCTCATGATTCATGGCATAATTGCCTAATGAGGTAAGAGATATCAAACTCTTGATTTGTGTGATGCATGGAACAAAGACAAAATTTAACAGCGGAAGAAAACCCAAATATCAAATAAACAACAAAACAGTAGAGTCTAATTTCAAATCTCATGTATAGTGACAATATCTTATGGTCAGACCACAAAAAATTTATTTTCGTGAATATCTTAGTTTTAACATTAATGATTCGTCTTTAATTGGATTGAAAATAAAATTAATCGAGATACGCATAAATTAATTTGAACATCCCTAACTATTGAACTACAAAAAAAAAATTAGTTAGAGAATTAACATGGACCCTACCATAATACCAAAAAATATTTATTTTTTGTTCAATAAAAAGTGATACATTATCGATTTTTTTTTTTAGCTTGATCTAACCAACCCTTGTTTTTCTTGAGATCACTGAATACAAGCACCGAATTATAGCTGTCATACCGTGTTTAATTGATGAGCCATTGCTAAAAAACACACCAAATTTATCGAGTCGGTTTGGTGCACTCAAGACTATCCTCCAGCTCACTCCTAAAACTAAACCCAGTGACTGACCACTACTTCTATTTCCAGGCCCTCCTATCACACCCACCTAAATTAAACCAGCTACACCTCGACCACAAGCAACCAAAGTTGAAAATTACAAAATTAACCTTTACAATTGTTTTGTGCAATTGATTTTTCAATAATAAGTGAGATGTAATCAACAAGTTTTGACAAACAATACAAGGAACGCAATTTATCTTATCGTTTATGACAATATGTTGTTCTCAGTGCATATAAAAAATGGGCTCTTCCCCTTCCATAAGAGGAAATTAACACACATGGTTGAAGACTGAAACCACGTAACCCCAACACATAAACATCTTTACCACAATGAGATTCGGTGACTCGGGGCTATCAAGTAAATATTGAATATAATAATTGCATCATGCCAATATTACCATGTAATATAACTGTCTAATAATAATAATAATAATAATAAAAAATAAGTGAACAAATAAACCTCACTTTTTGAAAATATGACAATTACTATCCTACATAGTGGTTATTTAAAATGGTGGGATTTATTTTGCCTACTATTTGTTTGTTTATCACATAGCAATTACACAACGTGACAATATTGATGTAGTATAACAATTACATTTCAATATTTTTCTCCAAGGTATAAGGTAAGATTATAGTACTAAACACTATAATTAATATCAAATTAAAAATTATTACAAAACACGGGTGAGTTTAATGATGATGTCACAAAGAATCGATCTTCACTTTTTTTTTTTGAATCATCACTCAACACAAACATGGCACACATGATCAAATGAGCCAATTGTAGAAGCTGAACAGAGTTTGCTGTCGAAATATAGAACTTACGGTTCAAAGTCATCACAATGCGCTATATTTTATGATTAAGAAACAAATGCCCACTGCAACTAAAAGATATAATGACTGTTACTCTGATAATGGGTAAATATACATTATCAATACAAAACTAGCTGAAGCTATCAAATAAAACAAAAACATAAAAACATGGGAAGACTTATGAAGATACTAAAAGATTTATGATCCGCATATCCTGAAAATCTCACCCCGCATAACGTCTATTGGCATGTGTTCAATAGTGTAACGCTCCGGACCAAGGTACATGCCTGTCTTTTCCAACAGCGCAACCCCTTCATCCCTACCAAATCTTGAGGCGTAGAGCTTGAGGTACTCGATGTCCTAAACAAGCGCAAACATGCAATTGCAAGGTGAAGAATAACTTTTGAGTAGTAGTGGTTACTGGCAGAAATCAAGGTAACAGCACTTGAGATTAAGGATGTAATTTGAATCCAGAATGAATAATACTAAGGAATTGAAATTATACTGAACATGGATGAAAACACTGGAAAAGCAGCATAATCGATGGTTGAATATGGAAGTTTATGTATTACTTAAAGAATGTCAGAACTAAGACATGAATTCTTTCCATGTGGTACTCTCTAATATGTTTTGCAAATTACCACACAAAATTTGTGGGAAAGTAGGAGAATTTTGTGGGCGTCGCTTGTGAAGACTTAAATATTTAAAACAGGAATTCAAAAGTTAAAAGAATCGAGTTGCAACTATCAAAGGAAAAACACCATCCTCGCCAGGAAAAAATAACATGAGAAAAATTGATATAAATTTGGCATATGAAAGAGTACCTGCAAGCCACTCAATAGTCGCTCTAGTCTAACTGAAGCAACAGGATGGTACGAAGACGAGAACACTTGACCAGGATAAAACAAGACCCCATCACCTGGGGGAAGCCCACGCCTGAATCGAATCTGCTTCGAATATGTAAATGTGCTATAAATGATAAGCATGCTATAACGAAATAATGTCAGGCAGACTATTATCTGCTAAAAAGGCATGGATATTACCTCCGCACTGGAAACCGTTGCCTTCTCATAGCAGTTGGCACCCCAATAAAGGAAACCTGTTCCACCTTCCTTCCACACACGCCACATCACAGCACGGTGTTGCGTACCTCGCATCCCCAAGTGCCAGTTAGGATGAGGATCAGATGGTCCCATGCACACATATGTCCACCATTCCTGTGAAAAGAAGCAGGCTCCCATCATTGACACTGTGCATGATGAAGAGAAAAATATTCTATTCATCTAAATGTAAGATATAGTGATTGGTGTTTCAGCAACTCCATGTAATAGAATTTGTAAACCAAGATGCCTCCTGGCCTACTTTATTAATACACTAAACAAGAATATGACGGCTATAAAGCTAGTTCTTATCATAAATAAGGGGTTCAAAATTAATTACAATGTTAATATGTCATATCAAATCGGTAGGATAAATTTAGAGAATTTTGTTAACGAGTACCAATTCCAATTGCATCAATAATTGACAATATAATGCGCACCTCGAATGAACAACCATCCAGTTGCAGTCAACGCAGACACGAAAGGATCTATATGAACCAAAAGATTTATACTCACATCTTATGAAGGAAGAGAACTGAAGCAACTATTAATTATGCAGCAAGAACCAATTATTTCCGACCAACATTACATTTTCAGAACCAGGAACAGACACTAACATAAAGTATTACCTCACCATTTTCTGGCTGTATTTCTGCAATTATATCCTTTACCAAATCATCTCGATTACCGATAACCCATTCGCTGCAAAGAGAAAAAGAATTTATAGGTATCCAATACGTTCGAGAATGTCCTGACAAATACTCAGCTTGTTCAAATGATCCCTTGCTACCAATTCAACTTATGAGTCGGGCAAAAATCCGATTCTGCTCTTTTAATGAGAGCTTGGAATCCATTCAATAGAACAAAAAAAAAAGGACTTAGATGCATTCAACGCAATGAGGAAATAAGGAAGTAGAAGCAACTCATCAATTTTTGTGGCCTAAATTTGCCCAGACCAAGCATTAGAATCGCCAAGGTCTTTTTTAGCATACTTCTTAGACAAACTGATGTAGCCACATATTGCATCTTTCAGAATTTAAGACGTGATTATGGCTAACCTAATTTTTTTCCAAAACGAATATCAGGCAAAACTGAAAAGAGATGCCAGTTCTCACTCTCAATTCCAGACTTCTAGATGCAGACTCAGTGATTCCTCCTAATCACCAATAAAACAATTCAGCTTAACCTAGAGTACCAATCAACAAACATCCTCACTAATATTTGAAGGCGGGGGTGATTAGTACAAATCAACAAGACCGAATTCAAGAAAGGTGGCCACCAGTGGAAGAAGATGTTCAAAGACAGCTTGATTTGAATTTTGTATTTACAAGATTTTTTTCTTATGTGGATACCTAAAAAAACTTGATCCCAACATTTTCATAAGCAACAAACCCCAACCCCCCAAAACAACAGTCAGAATACCCAATACAAAAGCCACCTTCGTCCAGCCTCATACTAAACAGGAAGTGAAGCTCCAGAAATTGGTGATGGGAATCAATGAGAGGGTGGGGGTGGTCAAGGGACATCCATTTTGGACATCCAGATACACTCGCACAAGCTGCTCACCTGACTGTTAGTACTTATAGCCAGGAAACTGGTTATTTTCTTGGTTTTCTTATGCGCACGTCCATTTGTCAATCCTTCATTGATGAAATCCATAAAAGGGAACATTATGGACTATGTTTTTGCAAACATTATAAAGCCAAGACCCAGGTTATGAAGTCAAACAAGAAGCCATTGGAGGAATTTTTTATCAAAGCAATATCAATTGCCTTGATATATGACGCATATATAGATCATTCCTTGAACTCCTCCATAACCAAGCATGCGAGGGTGAGGGTATCTGGCAGCACTGGTGAAGAGTGTTGAGCAGCAGTGCTGCACTCAGACAGCCTAATGCCACCAGATGGTTCCAGTGCAAATTTGCATTCAGGTATTATCCACTATCCTCACAATATTAGCCAGAACTTATCTCACACTGCCCAGTGATAGATTCAAGAGAAAATATACAAGAACATACAAATCAGACCAAAGGGTCGTCCTCTAACATGCTAAAATAAATACGTAAGCTCAACTAGCATGTAGAAAAATCGAATAGACATCACTACCTGGTACAATATATTTGAGTATGGGGCCGAAGGAACTCTGGGACCTTCAGAAAAGCCTCAAAATTATTCGAAGCAAGGGGTGCATCACTGGGGCCTGCATAAAGTGAATAAGCAATCAGAGAACATATCTAGAATCATATTAAAGCTGAACAAATCACAAAATAAAGAAGGGAATTTACAAGAAAATAAATGAACATTTTCCTTCAAGTAGTCTCAAAGATACAAGAAACAGCGAAATCAATCAAAGAAGGATAGTATACCACACCATACTATATAGAGCCGTGATCATAGGGATTAAACCCAACTAATGTCTTATCCTTGTCCTGTGAGACAAACAAAACTTGATCCTAAATAAGTGCACTACTTGGTCTCATATTGACTGTGAAATAGTCTTCCCAAGTATAATCCATTTAACCCCTAATTCCAAGCAAGAATCTAGGGGGAATATAGAGTTACTGCATAAGTTCACCTAATAAACAAGAAACCTTTGACTCTGATTCCTATGTATCTTTCCATTCGTTTTTTTTTTTCTGTGGCGGAGGGGAAGATCAAAAGGCATGGAGACCACAAGCATCACAATTCACAAAGTCGTTTTCAGTTTTGCAACAAATAACCTTGATAACCTATAGACCGCTAGACCCTATTCATCATTAAACTCAAATATATCTGAAACGTTGAAGGATTTACACAAAAATATTGTAAAGAATGCCTTGACGATAGAGAAGACGTCATCAGTTAGACTGCTGACAAAGGTGAAGCATTTTCGCATTGGAATTACTACAATCATTCGTCAATAGCTTCTCCAAATGATCAAGAATAGAAAATTTGCTGCGAAAAGAATCATCAAGTCTGGACATCCAGCAAAATAAAGGACCAGGAACCATCTACAAACTTATCGCTTTTAATTTGCTACCCTGCTTTGGTTAAAATGTTAATTCTTACCAGCCAAGTATAATATTCTTTGTGACTTGTGTATACAACATAATGTCAATGTAATAATGACATGGCGTGTGTTCTACATCATATGTGAAATCCAACGCATCAGTTATCAAATCAAGTGCACTTAGTTCACTGACTGGTTGCTGAATGAAAAAGGCCAAGTGTTCAGAGTCAGGTCATGAATAGAACAATCAGCGGGCCGCATAATCGAATAGGACTTCTTGACATAGGTATACTTGACTTTAAAATTTTTCCCATCGAGAATACGGTATATAAACCCAACATCAACTCTCCAAATCCTCTGGAGCAGGACCCCATATCATTGAGTTTCAATGGTCATTGAACTATAAGCTTGTAGCTTACATAGAAAGCAGCATTAAATGGTAATGCACATTGTAGAAAGGCATCCAATTCGCACCAGAGTAGTAAGATGTCAAAACACGGGCATCAGGTGCATATGCATGAATCTCAATAGCCATATTGCGAAGAGAATCATATTGTTCCAGGTTCAATGGCTGGCAGAAAGCAATAGATGCACATCAGCATATGCAACTAACAGTGGGAAAGACAAAAACACAGATCTAATAGATGTCAAACATCATCTTAGATCCTCAAGCCTCATTAATACGGTTCATACCTCATCCCATAAGTAAAAATAGGCTTTTTTCCAGTGACTCTTTGTCCTCAAGATATCCACTTCCTTCTGCAAATAGTCCTTTTCCATGTCGCCACTGTTACAACTCAACCAGCCAGACAAAGACCATAACTAAGCGTACCTGGTAAAAACATAAGTGACATAACATAGTGCAGCAATTGAAAACATACCAGGAGACTACTGGACGATATGGTACAGCATATGCTGCTAATCGTGGGTCCGAAAAATATTCATCTGATTTTGGATGATTGGCTGCAACACACACACAGAGATAGAGATTAGAGTGAAATACACATCCAAAGAAGCAAAAAAAGAAATTTGGCTTCCATATGTGCAGTACACAAATTCAGGATAGAGTTGAAATCGTGAATCATAATTGTCAAATCGTGTATTGGAAGGTGTATCGTTTTTTAAAAATAGTGTATCGTATCGTATCGTAAGATACGGCACAATTTTAAATAATTAATAATAAAATATATATGCTTTTGAAAAAAAATCATAGACTCATAAAAACACAACATTTCATTAGTATTACACCTACTATTCAAGTCACCAATATAATTTATTAATATTAAAAAAATAATAAAGAGTATCAAATTAAATTAATGGTACATATATATATTTAAAAGTAAAAAGTTATAATGTAATGGGGTATTAAATATAATTTTTTAATGGGGTATTAAATGTAATTTTTTGTACTTATAACAAAAAAATAAAATATTTGCACAGTCGTGAGTCTCGTGACATACGATCGCACACACACAGAGATAGAGACAGAGAGAAGAGAGAGACGAGACTCACGATTGCACACACACACAGACGAAGAGAAGAGGTGAGAGGCGACTTCAAAGGTGAGAGGCGATGGCGATAGCAATGGGCGATGTCGGTGCCAGAGAGAGAGAGAGAAAGAAGAAGAAGAAGATACGTGGTGGCTGGTACCTCATGGTTGCAGCTCACAGCGATGAAGAGAGAGATCGTGAGACTAACAGGTTAGTGTTAAAAATCAACCTAGGGTTTCTTCCAATTAGTGCTGCTATTTTTTCCAATTTCAAAAATTTGTTTGATTTGCTTTTGCTTGGGCGTTTTTGTTGATTTGTGGGATTGGTAATTCTTGTCTTCATCTCTTGCCTTTTCTTTGGTATTTTCTCTATTCTGAGGCTGTCAACGATTTGGTGCCCAAAAAAAAAAAAAAAACATAAATTTCGAGTATCGTTTGTATCGATTGATACGTATCGTATCGTAAAAACGTATCGTATATCGGACGATCCTATGCAAAAATGATACAAAACTCCGATTCGTATCGTTTTACCTATAAAACGTGACGTATTGTACGATACGTATCGCTTATCGTACAATACTAATAACTATGTCGTGAATAATTACAGAAAATATTTGATAAAATACACAAAAATAACTCATTACAAAATTTGACTTGCTTCCATATATTACCTGGCCATGGAGAAGTGTATGTCAAAACACGCATACTGTCACCCCATCTGCAGAAGTATGGGCTGACTCTATATTGGAGCAGCCACTTAAAATGGTGATCCAATGCCTCATACCATTCATTACTCCCGTGTTCAACACCAAAACGGTCCTCAATTACAGTATCAGATATCTATATATAATTAAGGACATGTGCACTCATCTATAAATCACTGTCACAATTTCCATTTGATCTATAAGACTATGTACACATCAGAAGAAAAATAAGAATGAATAGAATGTCTCCAAGTAACACAAAAATATCAATCACCATGTGCGAAGGTTTCAGCATGGAAGTATAGCTTCTTGTCCATGATCAGCACTAAGAAAACCAGTACAATATTTCGAAGCAAATTCGCAAACAGTTTGTCCCTAAGTACAACAATGGCTCCATAAATTTATTTCTTTGAATCACTCTCACCCATTGTTTTAATAAACAGCACATCTCTCAATGTTGTTCTCTATGTACGATGTAGAAATATAAGGCAATTCACAGAATGATTCCACATCAAAATCAAAGTACTTAATGACATTTAAAACTAACATCTTAATAACGCACTGACCTACCAAGGTGCAATCCTATGAGAAATAAATAACACTTGGATACAGATAGTGCTTGGACATCTTTGAGCATTCAGGGAACGCACTTTGTTGTCAAAATTTATTGAATAGAAGTGACATAATAGTACTTATAAGCTAATAAGTAGGTGACATACACGCAGATGGCTGAATGCCTAGGCTCTAACTCATGAAGGGCAATTGACAGCAGATACCACAACTGATATACGAGCATCCCCAATATAGAACTCCAACATACAAACACCACCCCCCACAAAAAAGTAGATAAAAAAGGAAAAAGAGAATTATATAAGAACTTATCTCACCATTGTTGGCATCACATTTATAATTTCCGTTGTCAACATTTCAATAGATGGCAATAAAAAATACATTAGAGATCCAGGTGCAAATGAGATAAGAAACAAAACAAAGAAGGAAATATAAAATGTATAGAACAAAACAAAAACTACAAGCACAGGTATAGTGACAATAGTAGGCCAAAAAAATTATAACCATAAAAAGGGACTGCACAAAAAATAACAGCAATTATAACCATAAGAGCACATATACTCTAGCCAGTATTTTATGAGTATCAATAATAGAATATGAATATATACAACTATATTTTAATATACCATACACAAAATCAACGAAAATACAAGGTTCACCATATATGACATAAACAATGAAAAATCTCCCAAAACTAAAATTTAGATCAAATATAGATGCAGGATACACCAATAACAGCAGGAAGGGAAGGTGTCGCCGGCAGAACAAAGTCCCAGACCATCAAACTTAGCTTTATGCGTATTGAAAGGTTTGAAATAGCATCTTCATCCATCATATCCACCGGCCCATTATCTGAAAAGAAGTCAGCAAATGATGGCGACAGAAGAACTCTTCTTAAAGATGTGGTTGCAGATTTCACTCTTTCTACCTACAAAAACAAAAGCTCATATGAGCAGCTTATAACAAACCTAGGCTATTGGAGCATATAAAATTGTAGTTTCAGAAACCAACCAATTCGTCGGATGGTTTTCCATCAATGGGCTCCACCAGGTCAAGACAATTCCTAAGTTCTCTGTAAAGTTGATGCTTCTCAGCTTTGCCCAGGCTTTGCTCTGTACATCTGTGTTGAGTCAGATTATGCCAAATTTGAGTAAACAATTAGTTGCATCAACCATCCCGACTTTCCCATTTCAAGTATCACAAAAATTGCACAGTCCAAACAGAGACAATTAATAAATGAAATCTCACATAACAAAACTAATATTTAACTGGAGTAAAGAGGATAGACTATCACTCTGCGTCTGCTTTGGTAGCAGTAATGACGAACTCCCCTTCATATTGACCCGGAGGTTGTGCACTTGGAACATCTACAGAAACCCAAATTGCAGTTGTTTCTCTGCACAATAAGAACCATCTTTATCAGAAGGAATGATCTTGTCTAGATATACTCCACATTAGCATGTCATACAGAGCACCAGCATATTTTAAATGTCAGACTAATACCCAGGAAGTAGGTTTATTTGAGAGACTGGCATATCAAGGGGTACAAGTGCATCTGGAATGCCTAAGACAGGCACCACTCGCCGCAATGTCAATGACTGCCCAACTACCAACCTGTCCACAGTCAACATCAGCTGCGTTATCAATTTGAAATAAGTATACTGATGTAAACACCCAAAGTTAAACATCCTCAGGAAACTAACCTCTCACCAGTAGAGGAACATAGGTCAGTACATTGAACCTGCACGGCTCCTGCCATACCACATCCTCCCCAAGAAACTTTGGGACGTATGGCAATCTGAACACTTTCCCTCTCATTTCTTGCTGCTAGAAGAGATATCTTGAAGGTAAAAAAAATCTCAGAGACCAAGGCACATTGCAACAAAAATACAAAATTATGTATCTCATAATTTTTCCCTTTAATGGTGATGATCACAAACAACAACGCATTGGCTATGCAAAAAATCATAAAGCAAGCGTGTTCTGAAATGCAATCAAAGATAGTTGCTCGATGTTTATGACCTCCATGGCCAATGTTTATCACAAGATTTGTATGCATATTACATAGATATCTGACATGAAGAAAAGACACTTTGATCTATGAAGCACTAGAAAAAAAAAATAATAGAGACACACTTACAGGTTCTAAAGGTCGTGGCATTTCTTGTGCTCCGACATTTGACGTGCTTGGCATACACCATACATGCACTAACTCTGCAGATGGAACTTTCATTGGATCAATTGCGCCCCTTAGTGGCCTTGGATCATGAAAGCCACTATCATTCCATCCATATGCCGTCCCTCCTCCAGCAACACCTTCAACTGGAGGCACCATAATGCCCTGATTATTCGCTGCATAAAATAGCGAAAAGCAAAGAGAGACAAGTCTTAGCAACGGTAAGTAGCAATTTGATTTAATTTCCCAGACACTGAAGAACTGAAAATGGAACACAAATAATGGAAGTAAAGAGAAAGTATCAAGAGTTTAGTAGCTCAATATGAGCAGAAACATGTTAAGATGGAAAAAAATCAGTAAAAAATGATAGCTACTGCCAAGTCTGAGGTTAAAGTCGTATCTGTAAAATGAAGAATTATTTGACTGAATAATTATATACATACATGTACGGTATTAAAGCATTCGCCACCCCCACCGCCTCCTGTAAACCCCTAGTTTCCAATTCTTTTCACATGTATATTTTCCTAATCCAAACGAAGATACAATCCAATTGTTTAACGCAGTCGGTCACCTTTAAATGATCGCATTTATCTATACGCAAAACTCAAGACCAGTTCTTGAAATAAATCAAACACAAAACAAACACTATACCTCTCAATAGCAATGATCAAAAAACCCTAAAACAATTCATTCAACCAACTTTTCAACTCAATCGTTTCGAAATATCAAAAAAACACAAGAGGCAATAACAAATCAACATAAACGAAAAAAAAAATCACATACTCTGAGATATCAGAATAAAGAACAAAATTACTGTATTGACTGGAAGCAAACCGCCATGAAAGAAATATTAAGAAACCGATTCAATTGTAAAGAAATCGAATAGGCAGAGGCTAACCAGAGTTCTCCATTTTTAGCTTTTTCCGTGTGTGTGATAAGTGAGTGGCTCTGAGATTTCAACAAACGCGAGATCGTTGATCGAGTTTGGTGATTTTCAGTTGAGAGAAAGCAACATACAGGTGAGGACCGCACCTTCAATGCGCAGAAACGAGTGTTGGTTGTTTGAAGGGAAAAGGGGGTGGGGAATTCGATTGGGTATTTATGAAAAAAATTACCCAATTTCTTCAATATCCCAACGACGTGCTTACGTGGCAGTTAAAAAAAAAAAGGAGATTCTTTTTTGAATGTAGGTCCCACAAAAAAGAAGCTCTTACGTTACCAATAAGTACAATGTCAAATCCCAATCGTCCATCAAAACTTTCAATAAAGCGGCAGTACGCTCGCTAGTAGGGCGGTCATCAAAATAGAAGATTATGAGGGTAATATTACAGTTACAAAAAATAAAAAAAGGCTACGACATCAAAATTTATTATTTATAAATAATAAATTATAATTATTTGGTATAATATACAATTGATTATAAAATATTATAATGGATCACAAATAACCCAAATGAGTTACAAGGTAATTTGCAATTGATTATGAAAAATTATGATTAATCACAAATTATTTTAAAAAATAATAAAATGAGTTATATGTAACATTAAAAAATTATAATTTTTATAATTGATGATTATATTTCGATATCAATCATTTCTTTTGTAATTATAATTTATACTTTTTCAGCATACGAATAATGAGATATTGAATAAAGAATGAGCAGGACTGTAGGAGTATTTCTAATTTTTATTTTTTTTGGTCAATTTGGTACGAAGGTGACATGGTTAACATATGTTATTTGGTTTGAAAGGATTTGGGTTATGAATAAATTGACTTATTAGATACATTTAATAAAAGTTTTATTAAATTGGGCACAAACTCGACTATATAATAAAATTATAAATGACTCAGATTTCTACAAATGACTCGGGTTAAAATGAATAAATTTTAGTGCGGCACAGTTTAAACAACTTACAAACATGACACGGGCTATTTTATGATCCAACTCCCAAGTTTAAAAAATAAAAGGTTGAAAGAATTACTACATCAGTAAATGCTAAATTAAGTTTTTTTTCCCCTCCCGACATCATATGATAAATCAAGGATCATAAATATTCTTAGACAACATGCTAAAATTATAGAAAGTAAAAATATTTCTGCACAGGAAACTCTTGGACTCCTCCATTTCTACCACTCCAGTGTGTTAACATTTGACCTTTCCCAGAGCAAGCTTCACCATAGATGCCTGAAAGATAATGCAAATAGAAATCAATGTTGTCAAACAAGAAGAATTGGTGCACTGACATACTGAAATAAATAAGGTGGCATTAAAATAATATCTTTTGGGTTGCCAGTCTAAATGCTACATTGGCCAGACATAGCTTTACAGACTCCTTCCCAGGTAGGGAGGCAGAATAGAAATATCGCTACTACCTTTTAGTCGCTGCCTGCATAAGGAATGGAAGTTCTACCATACTATTAACCGTTTCATTAGGACAACACTTGCTTGCCGCAGTGCAAATTGAGTGGAGAGTATGCAGCACACACAACAAAGTTGACATGGTTAATGAACTCATTGGGACAATTGCAGTGAAGTAATTAGGCAATCCCTTGTACATTTCACAAATAGGCAAAAATATTTTACATGAGAAAAGAATCAAATAAAAGTAAAAAATGGAAGATCTTCCACAGACAAGTACCAATACAAGCCAAAAACGTAGCACTAGATGTCCCAATTATCCATTAAACATAGCATTTATCATCAGGGCCTCCTCCCTAAGAACACAAGTCGTGCATTACAATCACGGCCACAGTGACTTTCGGCATGATCATCCAAGTACTTTAACATTTCCAACCACTGACTGCCACTATAGATGCTAACCATTTGGTTGCAAGCCTGGGTCCCAGTGAAGTTGAGATTTAGAATAGTTAACAGTAAGTTAATCAGTAGTTGAATGTTGGATAAATACTATCCTGGCGGTCCCAACCATTTTCAAGAAGAGATGGGAGACCAAAGAATCCCATTTTGTTGGGGTTATTTCACAGGGCGCAATGAAAAATTACCGTAAAACAAGCAAAATCATAGCAAAACACATGCAGTCTGCGAAAACTCACCAATTTTCAGCTATTATTTCATTCAAAAAGCTAAGAAAGTGCCCACAGAAGGAAGAGGGGGGCAACAACTACTACACTAAGCTTTTTGTCTTCTTCAAAGCACTTTCAAAAGGCATAACCTAACGGTGCCCACCTACTCCTGCAGAGGACTCCAACAGGTTGCGAGTTCTGCCCGACTTTCAGCTTGAGCATAAAAATCTTCACAAGAAGGGAGGGGGGGGGGGAACAAGTTTTCCGAACTAAATGTTTCTTGAAATCAATGACCTCATATAATGGCCAGGTTACATTTTCCAGATCTCTCTCTCTGATATGTGCCCAAAATGGTAGCTGCTAAGTTCTCATTCTTCAGCATTGTTTTACATGCCATCGAAACTTGAAAGAGATGACAAATACTCATTTACACTTGAAATGCACTATCATTGGACAAGGTCAAGAATTTCAGCAAGAAACATAGCCCAATCGTATTCCAGCTACTTGAGCGCACCTATTGAGCCAATAGGCAGCAATTTAACGCACTCCAATGGGTGAGGTGGATAATCACCGTAAGATTAGGATACCAGATTTTTTTTTATAAAAAAAAAAAGTTTTGGTCCCATTTGGCTATAATAAACGACATTGTTTGTGTATACAATTTCTGGCCAATTTTGTTTTTAGTTTTTTAATCCTATTAATTAGGAAGAAGCAATTCACATGTTAAATAACAGATGATAAATTGAAAACACATATATACATGTTCACGCAGAAACATAATTTTATTCTCCATAACCTACCAAAATAGAAAATTTTATCCTTGACTCAATCAAGAAAATATATCTCTAGCAATTTCACAAAAATAGTACACCAAGATCTCTTGAACCCCATTCCATTGATGATAATTTAACTACTTATGTATAGAAAATTTGTGCCCATCAACAAAGGAAAGATTTCTTCCCAAAGATAAATCTAGATTGCTAAAAACAATTAGGCAAACAATATCCTTTTCTTTCACAATTTACCTTGGTACAAAACTTATCTAAATTCAATTATCTCAACTTATCTCATTTTTATCTTTGCCACACCTATAGATTAATAGATACCTTGATGCAAGATAAATTTCTTAGCTCTCCTCATTCTTGTTTGCTCTTGTCTTTCTTTCATATATTCTTTAAGGTTCACCCTTTAGTACCACATTTATTGCAAAGTAGGAAAAAAACACAATGCACCAGACTCCACCACTGCGGAGTCTGTAGGATGATCAGATGTAAGCAATCTTACCCCGCACTTTATTGTGAAGTACAAATCAGAAATTTTTCCACAATGAATTTTGCAGTCCACATTGTCAACTAAAGCACAGACATTTTAGAACCACACATATGCAAAGACTGTAAATGTTCCAGTATGTAAACAAGCAAGATTCATCTCTAATGCTCTGTTTGGTACGATGGAAAAGTGGGAGGATGAAAAGTTGCAAGGATGAAAAATTGGAGGGATAAATAAAATATTATGTTTGGTAAGGAAGAAAAATAGGAAGGATGGAAAAGTGGATGGATTAACTTTTTTTCCAACTCACCAAAATCGGAAAAAAAGTGGATGGAAAGTTAATTATTTGTGTTGAGATGAATCTTATTTGTCTATATATCTTATGTATACATTAATTTCATATAAAAATACAATGGTAAAATATGTATATATATTTTAAAAATTTTAAAAAATTAATTTTAAAAAAATTAAAACTAAAAATTTTAAATTAAAAAATATATATTTTTTCTATCTTAACTAAGGGTGAAACTTTTTGACTCAACACGATGACATGACTTGAACTCCATACGAAAATAAATAGGTCAACTCGCAGCTCGACACGACACAATTAATTAAATGAGTTAAGTTAAGTTTGAATAATATTCGACACAACCTCGTAATGACTCAACACGAATTTGACACAACACGACTCGACTCTATTGTCACCCCTAATCTTAGCCAACGCAACAAAAAAAAATAGTCATTTTTATTTTCCATCCATCCAACCAAATACAAAAAAAAAAAAAGTGTATCCTTCCTACTTTCTATTTTGATAGGATAAAAAGTGTACCCCTCCTACCAAACTGAGCATAACAACTTCACCACATACATGAACAATAACCTGTGAAATAGTAAAATGATCCTCGGGCTATCATTTGAAGAAAACAAAGTGAATATAAGAGTACTGATGTTACCTTTTACAAAATTCAGTGACAGATCGCGACCCATTGTAGAAGATGAACCACATCAACACAATTACCAGAGTATCTAGCAAGATTAAGGAACTCACAGCTGCATTTACTTCACATACCATGCAACAACCACTTGTTATTTCCCCCCTTGGTGGGTGATGGTCCAAATTTCAAAAAGTCTCAAATATCTTCCCCCATTTTATCCCTTAATCTTAAATTTGAAGATTGATTTCCTATGCCATTTTCTTTCAAAGCAATAATATATCTCAAAATCAGTGAGGATCCTGTGAACAAGAATGACCACAACTATTGACCTAAACCAAATCAAACAATGTTCCTAGTCACACACTGAACATAAATAACTACAACTCAACTCAATAAAGCTTTAATCCCAATTATTTGAGGTCAGCTACATGGATCTCGTTTCTCCATTGATAGAGCCAAATTGAACATATAAAACTAATATCATTACTTTGACAACACAGGTTGAGTAAATTAGGTGCAAATCCAAGTATATATGAAGGTATGTTGGTGTGTGTGTATATGTATACACACATTTACAAACATCATGTGTGTGTCTATAAATGATATGCAGTTCAAGAATCAAATGAACATGTATACATAAAACAGGTCAAACCCACAAACGATAATACATAGAAAAAGGATACTGAAGAGATAACGCTCCCACCAGTCCAACATGTAGAGTCCAAAAGTGACGTTGTATAGATAGATCTTGCGTTGAATCCAGTTCATAACGTTAAATCTAAGAACAGCAAAACATTCAAATTACATCGTATAAAAATTTTATGAAAAGCTTTAATCCTAAGATGGTTGATCTCGTATGGAACTCACCTGCGTTGACGGCTGAACAACGAAATGGGGAACGGAAATGAGTGGAGGAACACGCTAACTGATGCATCTGGTAATATTGAAACGTAATAAAATTTAGGGTTAATCTCAACTTGCGGCCCAAAAAAAAACTCGAATTTCAATTTATATTTTCAAAATTTAAAAATATTAATTTATATCATAAAATGCATAAATTCGTATAAATGTGCACCTAGAGTTAACTCCGTTCATTTTGCCTTTAAAAAGTTTAGGCTAATTATAAATTATATCCCTAAAAATTTAAATATTTCATATTTATGATCCAAAAAATATTTCATCAATTAATGCTCGTTAAATAACTCTCAATTGTATCGTATCATAATATCTTCGTATCGTGTTCGAGTCAATACAAAATATTTTTAAATTTTCAAAAAAAATTTAAAAATATCTATTTTTTTACCTAAAATACTCGTTAAATAATTATTTTATATCTACAGTTAGACACAAATCTTTTGATTGTCTGATCAAATTAAAGTTATATACAAATAACACAACTGTAGATAGAAAATAATTATTTAACAAGTATTATAGGCAAAAAATAGGTATTTTAAAAAATATTAAATAGTATTATATGAATTATCACAACTGTGAAATATATGACACAACGCAATTGACTCTACACAAATTTTATTGACTTGAATATCACACGAAAATACTATGACATCATACAATTGAGAGTTATTTAATAAACATTAATTGATGAAATTTTTTTTTGGATCATAAATGTAATATATTTAAATTTTGAGGGGTATAATTTATAATTAACCCAAATTTTTTTAATTACAAAATAAACAACGATTAATTTCAAGTGCACATCAACACATATTTATATATTTGAAGGTGTAAATTAATATTTTAAACTTTAAAAGTATAAATTAAAATTCGAGTGATCTTTCAAGATACAAGTTCAGATTAACCTAAAATTTAAGGACATGGTTAAAACAAATTAGGGTGAATTTCACTTGGTACCCTAAAAAATTTATAAATTTTTATTTTCCACTCCTAAAGGTTGGCTTTCTCATTTTATATTCTGAATGTATCAAAAATATTATAATGTGACTATTTCGTTAGTTTTCACTATTCATTATATCAATGTTAAGGGAATAGTTTTTAACAGAATAAATAATAGAAACTAACAAAAATGCTACATTACAATAATTTTAATACATTCAAGTTGTAATATGAAAAATATAATATTTGAGGATACATCCAACAAATTATGAAACAATAATGTTATGAACTTAATTTATTGATATAATTTGATAACCTAATCTATAAAAACTATTTCATTAGTTATAAGTCTCAATAAATACTAAATTCACCGACAATTTAGTGGTTATAAATAATTAAATGAGCAAATTAGATCTAAGTAGTATTATTCCTCCTGAAAAGTAGAATTTTATTATTCCAAAACAAAAAAAAATGATATAACTTCAAAAAATTTATTTGCAGTTTTTCAATTTCTTCGGGTTGATGATTATCTGGATATTGTATTTTTCAAAATAAGAATAGTAAATCAGGTAACCCATGGAAGGCTCTTTGGAGCCTTGTTGAATATTCTTTGCTGGCAAAGAATTTAGCGTCTGGAATGACATTGGCTGAGGGCTTCTATTCTATTGATCATGTACACTTTATACGGGTCAAAGAACGTCTTAGTTAGTGGGCCCCATCAAAAAGCCAATATGATCCATTTACATTATTTTTTTGATAAATATACCATTACCCTTTTCTATATATATAATAAAATACATATAGAAGATGAATTTTATCCCTACACATTTTTCCCTCAAAAATCATCACATCCATTTCTATCACATGTTCAATCATTTAATATTTGTCTTTTAATATAATTTTTATTTTAGACATTATTCATACACGATAATATATACATGTTAAAAAAAATTAATTGAATTACATATTTTGAAAAAATTTTGTCAATATTTTTAAAAAAATAATGAGTAAAAATAAATTTTGAATAAAATAATCAAAGAAATGAATAAAAAAAATATTATTTAATATAATAAAATCAATTTTTATGAAGCTCAAATTTTATGCCTTCAAACACAGATTATATATATATATATATATAACTCGTATTTAATGCTGCAACACAACTTTATTTGTTCATTTTATTGGTCAACTAACTTTTGACAGCCATTATGTATTACACCTACAAAGCATGCGAAATAAGATTTTTTTAAGAACCGTGAACTTTCACCGAAGATTCATCAGAAGTTACTCGAAACTACTATGTGCCTACCATCCACGTGAAAATTTTCATGTAACAGGTTGAAGGAGTCGAACATTTTGAGGATGCACCAACCTTCCACGTGTAGAGCAGTTATTGGCTATGGCAGCGAAGCAAAATCATGTGTGGACTGTGGACAGTTCTTATCGAGTCAAATACCTAACATTTTTTTATGTCTCGCTATAGTAAGCAATGGAGTGGGGTATGTCTAAACCTGTACAATGTTACCCTTTACCTATACCATCTTGACCGAGCTGCTGAAAGAAAAAAAATGCGTTGCCCAAAGAATGTGAAAACGAAAAACTATCGGTTTGAATCTTTGTATGGAGACGAGCTTTTTGATGAGTTTTTCCCACATTGTAGGAGAACATCGCGATTGATGGATGCCAACTGTGACAAGTTCTGCAAATAGCACGAAAACCCATTTATTAGCAAAACGTGTACTTAAATTCCAAGTGTTTGCATGAATGGTCCAAGGAGTTGTAGAAGCAAAATAGGCTCACCTTGAAAGAAAAATTCATCAAAGAAAGATCAAGAGGAGAAGAATCAAACTCACCAAGATTACCACAATCGTCCATCTTCTAAACAAAGGTGAACAAGTGAGCAAACAATTTTCACGTTAATGAGTTCGTGGACGACAAAGATGATAGATAAATAAGTGCGCATACCTCTAATCCAGAATTTGAATACAACTCAGTAGTGTCAGAAGCAGAATTGCTAGAGTCATCATCATCATCATCTGGCATTCCACTATAGCGTGACACGAAATAGCTTGTGTCATCTACACTGTCGGGGTGTGGTACAAAGGCAGCCTATGAAGTATGAACAAAGTCAACCAGTTAGTAGACTCATAATATAGGAAGAGTAATCAGACCACAGTAATATGCGCCAGCAATGACTTCTTAGCAAATTCTCTCCAAACCTTTACACGTACAGGACGGAAAAGATGCGCGCGCGGGGGGGGGGGGTTTGAGGAAGATGAGGATAACACCAAGAACAGATAGTTCTGGGCTAAGTTACCATTAAGGTTCAATGTAGTATCTAGTGTAGTAGGATAGTGAAAACAATAGGCCGTTTTGAAGTGTTAATAGAAGTTAATGTTCTGAAGGCTTATTATGACACCCTTCCATCTACCAAGCAAACCAATCATAAATTCTACTCTTTAGTCTAAAAGTAAATCAATTGCCACCTCTATATGTAGAACTTACAGATAATTTGCTTAGCACACGAGGACTTTTCAAAGAACATCTAGATGCTTTAAACTTGGAATAGTTTTCCACAGAGAGAGAGAGAGAGAGAGGGAGAGAGATCATGTTCCAAGGCCAACTAATTGAGAAAAGGAATAACAACTCAACCCAGCAAAGCCTTTGTTTAAAGTGGGTAAACCTAGCAAATCCCAACTAGCACAATCAATACAACACCCAATGTTCAAAACCGAAAGCAAAAGCAGTTTAGATTACATTCTCACCTTCCGTAAGGCAAAATTGTCCCAGTTAACTCCCCTGAAAAAAGGATGTGCTTTTACCTGTATGAAATATGCAGGGAATGAGGAAAGCAAATAAAGAACTACCAAGTTCATATTCCAAGTAATTCTAACAGTAAACAATAGTTCTTTAGAATGATCATAAGGTGGAGATTATGTTATCTACTAGACATGTGGAATAGAACCTCGGATGATCCCTTTGCTCCAACACGTTGATTTGGATCATGAATGAGAAACCTAAAAGAAAATATTCAGTGTGAATAAGATCAGTGCAACAATTAAGTGGTGACGGTGCAGATTGAAAAGATTAAAAAACCTTTCATAATTTTTTTTTCATCCTATTTTCCTGTGTACAATAAACCCATCTCTCTCCAGATGTATAATTTCCAAATTAACAAACAGAGAAACTGATTTCCAAAAAAATATGAATAATTGAGATCATTTCATTTTAACAAAATATTTGATTTTTTAAAGGAAATCCCAAAGGGTTTATTTTCATATACAACCCCCAAAGTGGTTATGTGCTTATCTCAAAGCATGGGGGTCATATCAGCTAATTCAAACCATGGGGGTTCGTAATATTCATTGATTCTAAAGAAATTGTGTACTTCAAGAAAATAAACATACATACACAGACCAAAAAAAATCTAAAATATGCTTATCCACGATACATACTGGTATAGACTTGATTTTTTAAATTGCTTTATTTTCTCACTTCTTTTTTGTAATTTAACACAACTCCTTATTTCCAAAAAGTATTTTGATCATACATTCAAGAAGTTAGTCAAAGAGTTGAACTTATGACAGGTTGCCCTGATTCATTCACCAGGTTGACATCTTGGCTGGCTCTAAAAACCATGTTCCAACCAAATCAATCATAATCCCATCGCACAACTAGGTGTACATAATGTACTTGGAATTAGACATAATATGTTTTCGTGAACTCAGTGACCATTCCCAAATTCTGATGTTTCCTACATATGCCAATCATGTTTCTGATTCATGTTATAGCAGACTGGCAAAAAGACATTACCAGGCAATTGATGACCAACTTCTATCTAGTAATGTGATATTCCAATCAGTAATTCAGTTGTTTTTACATTCTTTCCTATTGCAACAGCTTTCTAATCTTGAGAATTTCCATACTTACATTTTTTTCTCACCAGATATCATAAAATGAAGGTTGTGCTCTGCAGACGACTACAATACCACTATCCAAATCCTTCAAGACACAGCCTCCATAAAACAATTGACAAAAACAGTAGACAATATCCAATATTGACTCTTGAAAATTTCAAGCCATAAAACAAAATATTAATCATTCGAAATTTCAGTCATTAACCTGTCAATCAAGTCTTTAGCTTCATAGGACATATCGGTGGGAACAGAAGGCCATGGAATTTTCCTGTTAAGAATGTTGTTGAAGATTATCTGCGCAGAAAGAAGAAGGTGGAGGAGTTAGCAACATAAAGTTTCCCATCCCAGTGGAATGACGGAAAACCACATAAATTAAATTCAAGAGTTCATTCCAATTTAAATTACATAAAGGTGAGTAACAATCTGTGTAAACTATGCAGTAGATGCTCATAGAGAACAACACAACTGTTTTCCAAAAAACCAAGACAGTTTTTCAAGTGGAAAACCAATAAAATTTTGAACATCCTACATTTTTGAAGAGATTTAAGTGCAAGAGAAAGTAGCCACTCCCTGGTGCAGTAGTAAATGTGTCAAGCTGACAATAGTGAGGTACTGGGTTCCAATGGGAGTAGTCACTTTGTGGAAACAAGGTCAAACGATAGGTCTATTCCCAGTCCCTGCCCCAATATTCTGGATTACCAGGGACCAAATTCGGCAATGGCCCTTTTATTTAAGTGCGACAGCAATAAGCACATCTAAAGGAAGTACGATCATGTAAAATGTGATATAGCTTGGATAACTTCTGATACAACCAATAGAACTTGTGAGGCATATTGATAAGTTTAACAGCAATCAAACAATATATGCTGCGGGGCAAAGTTCATGAAAATTGCCTAAATCTGTCCCACCAAAACACTTTCCCACTCACGGAATTTTATATTAATAGGTATATCAATTCACTTGCACCAATTGAAGATAAATTGACTCAGATGATTTCGTTAAGTGTAGCAGAGACCAATTAGTGCACTAGAGAGGAAAGTGACACAGTGTGCTAGGGGCACAGAAAGGCTAAAATTAACATGGAGCAAGGAAGATATGAAGGATATAATCATTAAATTCCCAAAGCAAAAACAGAAAAAATAAATTCATTTAGCCAACTCCAAATAATTAGGATAAAGGTTCAATTTCGCTGGTCAGGTAACATAGAAGTTCCACCATTTGATTCAAAAAAAAAAAAAATAGAAGCTCCATCAACTATAGCACTTGAATGGATTGGTGAAGAGTTGAAGGTTGAAACAAGTCAGAATATTTCTTAATACCTTTTTAACCATACCAAGTTGCCATAATGTGGGAGAATAGTTGGTGAGAAAAAGAGAACCCAATTTTTACATCAATATTGTAATGGATGATTGCATACCAGCACATCTGTAAATACTTCTTATCAAGTAGATTCTCCAATCACATTAATACAAAATTAGATTTGTTGTTGAATTTAATTATATCCACGCTGAACCATAACCAATAAACCACTTATGCATGTGTTACAATATAAACTGACCTTACAGAATCAAAATAAGAAAAGATTACCTCTGGATGTTCAGCAGTGAAAGGTGGGATTCCACAAATAAATTCGAATAGGATAATTCCCACAGACCACCAGTCTGCAGCATAACCTGCAGGAATGTCCAGAAGGTAAATTCACTTGTCTGGCATACCTGAGAGGAAAACATGAATAGATATTATGCCCTAACCATGCTCAGTTCCAAGAAGAATTTCAGGTGCCAAGTAGTCTGGCGTGCCCACAGCTGATCGCCGGCTTCTGTTCACTCTGTGTGGATTGAGCGGACTATCGGTATCCGAAAGTGTAATTTCGTTTGCCTCAGATCCAGATAAATCATCTGTGCTGTTCATGAGGCCAATCTTTGATAACCCAAAATCTGTAAGCTGGTACAATAAGAAATGGTTAGCATATCAATATACAAACAATAAGTACAGACATTTTTTGACCTATAAACTATTGACTAGAACAACTTAAAAAGAAAGCCTCTCATTATTGTTTTGGAAGGCCTAATACTTAATAGATTTTTTTTTTTATTATTGATAAACAGTCTTGGATAAACACTAATGAATCAGTCCGAGTAACTCCAATGACATGAAATTGCATCCTTTTATTTCAGACGCCAAATTCAACTTTTAGTATTCAGGTTTAATGGATACAAATATTTGTTGTTGAATCGAAACATAAAAATGTGGACTAATATGGCTACCATTGAACTCAAAATGTTATGGCTTAAGTATCTTTAATAGAAGGTGTAAAAGGAATTATGAAAGGATTCTAACCTTGTAAGCATCTTTTGACAGCCTGAAGGGTATTTTGTAACGGAGCTTTTTGTAATGATTTATGTAGCAAAGAGGAGATTGATATCGTCTCTTTGTATTTTATAAGAAATTTTGTTGGTAATTTGTACCTATTAACATCTAACAGCTCTTAAAAAAAGGCGGCCCAATGCATGAGACTGCCGCCACTTCCGGCCACGGAAGGGAATGGGGAGTTTCAAATGTGTGCGGCTTTACACCGTGCATGCGGAGAGGCTGCTTCACCCATTTGATGCTCAAGTCACAATGGAACAACCTTACCACTGCCCCGAAACCCACCCTCTAATGCATAATATCTTTACTAAGTCAAATATACAAATGATTTAATAATCAAACATGTGGAATTGTAGTTGATAGCAATTCCTATACAGAATATATGGTAGAGTTCAAGACATACTTCTGCACATATTTAGGTCAAACAAGTATGTCAAAAATACAAAAAATGTCTATACACCAAACCTTGATATGCCCATCATGTGCAATCAATATGTTGTCCGGTTTCAAATCACGGTGCACGATCCCTAAAGAGTGAATGTATTCTAAAGCAAGAACCTGAAACATACCAAAGTCCACTTAAGATAAGAAAAGGTTAGCAAGAACTATCTAGCTTATACCTGACACGATCTAATACATACCAGTTCTGCAACATAGATACGAGCTACATCTTCCTCAAGGCAACCCACTTTCCTAAGCAAAGAGTATAGATCACCTCCATTGAGATATTCCATTACCAAATAAAGGTTGTCCCTACTGGTGAATGAATAGAAAAATCGAACCTGCAACAGGCAGACCATAAGATCATACCATATACCAGCCGTCAGAGAACTTGAAATATATTAGATTGACAATGAAAAGTCTTCCTTTACAACCAATTTTTAAAATGATGAATAAATGTAAGGTTTGGGAGTTAGTAACATACTACATGAGTAGTGAAAAGGACCAAGTACCAACTTCATGAAGATATTAGAAGCTAGTGGAAAGACATGCATGATGCATCCAAGAATGACAATTGGCATGGATGAAGAAAAAAAATGGAACTGAATATTACCACAAAAGGATTTCGAACTGTTATCAGTATATTACGCTCTGCCAATATACGCTCAATATCATTCTTTCGAAACATATCCAACTTCTTGAGCACCTGCATAAGCACAGATCACGTTAACTCAAGAATCTACGCCAATTTTGGCATATAATTGAAAGTTGAATACACAATTACTTAAATGACAGAAATGTTTGAAGCGAAAACTTATGAATGAAATTACTAAGTATATGTTTAGGAATGCAGCAAAGGCATCAACATCGATACTGGGATTCATTTATGGATTTTGGCTATCTGTTACCATTGATTATGATTGAAGCACGACTTTGTTGAGTAGAGTTAACCATTACCCCAAACGAAAAAAGGGAAAAAAAAGACACAAGAATCATCACAAGTTCTATCAGAATATATAGATTAGCTTACAGTGTTCTACTCGAGTACACATTTGAAACAGATTCACATTCGACAGGTTAGTGTGAGGACTCAAGAATCATTGCAAGTTCTAATCAAATATCATAGATTAATGTACAGTGTGCCATTCGAGTAGGCATTTAATATAGATTCTGATGTATGATAGGTCACTCGTATCACACATAATGTTTTGATGTATAGTTTCGGTATTTTCATTTTTAGGTCTCATATTTTCTTATTTTTAATTACTCGAATGACAATTTGATGCAGCACATGTTAGTAGCACAGGTTACAGGGGCCAATTATAATATTGTGACATGCGTTTACATAGCTTATTTTGATTTGGCCTTTCAGCACAAGGTAAATTTCATTTCTATGTTACACTACTGATTACTTATTGTTTCCCTCTAAAATGAACTTAAAAGTTCAGAGTAATCGTATGCAGATTTAAGTGTTTAGTGATAAAGTTTTAAAATATTCCAAGGCAAGACATGAGTGAAGAGTTACCTTTATTGCAAATAAATCCCCTGTTGTTCGCTTTCGTGCAAGAAAGACTTTACCAAAGGCACCTCTGCTAATTGGTTTAATGATCTCAAAGTCTTCAATGCTTGTTCGTTCTTTATGCCAGGGATGCGAAGGAGTTGACATGGTACTACTTTGTGATCCATTATCCAGAAAAAACTTTGAGATTTCAGGATGTCTGATATCACTTTTTGTATCCAGTAGTTCACAAGCAAGTACATATTTCTCACTGCAATTGAACAGAACAATTATTGCTGGGGAAATCAGGGTCGCTTTATGGTTGTATCTAATGATTCCATATTTCTCATGTGAAATTTACCGCAGAAGATTCTCTACTCGGCTTCCAAAAGTGTCTACCACAAGAGCTTTGAGCTTGCTATGCTGCAAAACATCCTGCAAGTCTTCCATGCAAGCAATTAGAAACTCATGGGACCCTTCTTTTGAAATATCTGTGTCTGCCACACAGCGGGCAATGTCTGCAAGGTCAGCCATCTACAAATAGGAACTTCAAGTGTTAGTATGTGTAAATTCCTAGGGGACATTAAATGCATAACTGAGCATATCACAGAAAAAATAAATGATCACAATTAATTCTCCTGAAAAAAGATAATTGAAATAACAAGAACACAAATACAAGAAAATCCAGAAAATAACACATTGAAAGACATAAACAGCAGGCATTATTCTCTTTTCATATTAGCCATGTTGAGAAGACAAACAACAAGTACTTTTCTCCTTCCACTTGCCTTCAAGAATTAATCTTCACATACCACATATCATTCAAAATGGCTTCTTGGTAGAACCAGGTGGATTTTATCTAGTACCAATGATATACTTCAAAAAGGAAGACAATTAAACAATCATCTACTCTAAAAACTTAAATTGTTGAAGAGGGTATAACTTAAATATTTATACTTTAATACGCCCCTCACGTGCAGGCTAGATCTTGGGCCTAGCATGTGAAAATCTTTTTAGTAATTAGGGTGGCGGCAAGATTCAAATATAGGACCTCTTGTACTGATACCATGTTAAACAACCATCCACTCCAAAAGCTTAAGCTATTGGAGAGGGTATAACTTAAATATTTATACTTTAGCAAAGACCTACTAGTTTTATATCTCCCTAGTAGTGAGTGATGTGTAAGGGTGATGTTAAGAATATTGATCATTTATTTATGCCTTGTCCTTTAGCCTTGGAATTGTAGTATAAATTGTTTAGCTTGGTTGGGTTGATTTGGGTTCTTCCCAAGTCTTCTACATCGTTGTTTGTTGAAGAGTAGAATGGGTTTGAAAAGCTTGCTAAAGCAGTGATGTTGTGATGTGCAATTCTTGCCACTTTTTGGGTTATATGATAAAAAATGAATGCTAGAAATTTTGAAGATCGAAGCGATTTGGTTGATGGACTTTGGAACCATTTTCATTTTATTGCTTCATTTTGGGCTTCAATCTCCAAGGATTTTAAGAAAATTCCACTTTTTGCTATCTTGGCGGTATCGAGAGCTTCATGTGATTTAGAGTTTTGATATTTTCTTCTCTTTGTACTTCTACTTTCTTGGTTGGATTTCTTGTTCAACCTTTTTCATGTATTGTTAATATTTTCATATTTTAATATATATTAGTTTTGTTTCCTATCAAAAAAAAAAGGTGGATCTGATCTAGGAAAAATTCTCGACTAGCTGATGGCCTAGAAAAGTTAAAAAAACAAAGGCAGTAGTCATCAGCCCGAAAATAGTTAAGTGCAACCAGCCTTGAGAGCACACAGCGCTGCAATCATCTAAAGTCAACAAGCTAGTTTATTGCTAAGTCACCAACAAGTATCATTGACAGATCATATATAATGTAAATTTAGCGACATAGACAGCCTCCTTGAATTTGTAAGAACTTAGAATGTTAGTCCTGTACCAAATATGTTGCTTAACAAATAACTGGGGTTTCCCTATACTTGCGGGATGTGGCTCCATCTGCTTCAGAAACAATCAAGTTTAGAATAAAGATGGCAAGGACATTGACACTGCTGACACTCTTCACATGATGCATTTTTTTTACTTCTCCCTTTTCTCCTTATTCTCTTCTCTCACAGACTCACACACATGCTGTGCAATTCTGATTTGTGGTTGGCTGTCTGTCTATTCAGAAGATAATATTTTTCACAACAGAAAGTCAAATATTGTAATCCGAGATAGAAGCTGTAATATGCATTAATTTCTGTTATATGTACTTTTTCTCCTGCAAAGCATTCCTCATCCTCTACCAAAATTTAAGATCCATGTAAAAATCATTTTAACCACCAACTTTGGCAAATAATGAATCAACTGCCTAATTGAAAAGGACAAGGATGACCCACCTGTTGCACATCCTCTAGCTCAGAAGGATTGTTATGCTCCGGCCAGAAGAAATCAAAATTTCCTGCTCGAGGGGTGTTTGTGGAGGATGCCGATGTCATGCTCCCAGTTGACGATGGGGGACCACAGTGGCTGAGCTTCACAGCTGACAAGCCCCTCAAGTTAATAGAAGTTGCAAGCTGAGAATCTTCTATACAGGCAGTGTCCATCTCATGAAGGTCTTCAAACATTCCTTCCACACCTTTACTTCGCCACTCACTTATCTTCGGTGAACAACCTTCAGGCGTGATTACAGAACTTGTAATATGCATTCTCGAATTTTCAGGACTGTCAAGCGTTGAATTAACACCTGGATTGTGCGCCTCTATAATCTGTTCAAGAAACTCTGCAAGTTTCAGCAGACGTTCATCTACATCCAAACCTTTCAAATCACATTTGTCTGCATAAGCACATATATAGGAATGAGACTCCAAATGAGGAGTTGGAACTAGTTCTTCGCATATCCTACAAATTACTAAATTAGAATCATCTGAAATATATTCCTGCTCCTGAAGTGAACCACAACTAATTTTTATTATCGACTCTCCAGGAAAATTGTCATCAGCTTGACGAAATTGTTGAAGATTTGAAGGAATACCAATTTGGGAATTTTCAGAAGGTGACTTCTGTTCAGAAACCATGAAATCCTTTCCCAAAACTGCATCACTCTCATCAACTGACATTTCAGACCTGCACTGGGCCGCCTGAGAGAGAACAGTAGCCTGATTTTTCATCTGCAGTTTCCGTGTGGCAACGCCCTTCTTGTTTAAAGAATAACCCGAATCAGAATCAGCAATCCCTCTATTAAGAACCCAACTCATTTCCACAGACGGAATATTTTCTAAACATTCCTTGAATTTATAAAGGGATTTCTCATCAATTGGATCCTTATCTCTCTCAAAATGCAACAACCTAGTGCACCGCGTCAATATAAAAAGCATACGTGTCAACAGCCACTTGAGTAATCCTGTTTGGCATTGCTGCCTCCTTTCAGTCAAATCTTGGACAACTGCTTCACACTTGGTGCGAAACTCTAAGGAGGTCATTTCAATACATTGCTGCGCTAGAATTAGAAGTTCCTCTGTCATTTTCTGTCCTTCTAGGGACAAGGAATCACTCTTCTTCTGCAAGACCTCCATCGCCTCTCGTGCAAAACAAGCCAACTCTGTGTTCACAACTTCTTTAGTCGCATCAAATCTTGAATGCAATGATCCCAAAAGTTCCTGAATACCAACTCATATAATAAGGGAACAAATAATGATTCGAAAAAAAGATAAAAAAATAAATAAAGATGAAAATAAATTATATTGGGCATATGAAAACAAAAAATCTTAGTTGTTGAAGCAAATTATTAGTTCTGAAATATGCTTAAAAAACTTTTTTAAAATGCCACGAAGATGAACTTAGTTCTACAAGACCACATCACCTAATCTAAAAAATTGAGCGTACCTTCAAATCACTATAGCTGTGAGCCCGAGGATGGACAGGTCGAATGCCACCTTTTGGCCCTAGTTCATGTGAAAAACTTTTTAAAACTTTTGGCGCTTTACTACTGCATGTGAATTCTAGTGAAGATTGTTTTCCAGTTGAATATGTCCCCACCTTCGGCTTTATTGTAGGACTCTCCTTGTTAAATGCCTTGATTTCCAAGTCATTATACTGGAAAAAAAGCAAGATGATTAGCATATGAGGAGTAATTCAGTAACAGCTATTAAATGCATGCTAAACCAAGCATCACCTCTGCGTTTGGAGGAATATCATCTAAAGCTTGATCAGAATCCTTGAACAAGTATGATGTTAACCACCGAGCTATCTTATTCCCTTTACGTACTCCTATCACATAAAAGGAATAGTAAGCTGTTAAATTTCTCCATCAACTGGATCAGGAAAAAAACACCAGAATTTAAAATAGAGAACAAACCAGAAAGCATTTGAGATGGGTTCGCCAGAAGCTATAGTAAGAAGACCTAATCGGCACCCCCTAAATATCATAATGCAACTTCGCCAAAACATTGGAAAAATTAAGATAGAAACAGTGATAGTTTGCCACTACACAATTCTTCATCTTCCACGATTTTTTTTTTTTTTTGAGGATTTAAGCATTCATTCAAAACTTAAATTAAACCCAAGTGGAAGGAATTACAAGTCAAATATCATAATACTCCGCACCTAAAGTATTTTGGATGAATTCATGAGCCAAACATTTTCCACTCCTCACTAATAGGATAGAACCTTCTATTATTCTTTTTATCAACACCTTACTATGCATATTAGTAATAACCAATTCTTACTTGACTGTCGTCATTCTTACACCTCTATAACCAAGGAAAAAAGCTCGACACGGCAACAATTAGATGAAGATTTAAGCTCCACAACCAATTCACTTGTCTTTAAAAACTCTACGGCCTCTAATCGATCTCCAAAGATATTAAATAAAAAAAAGAAAAAGTTGATATTGCAAATTCCTTAAAAAGTTGATATTCTATTTCTTTTACTTTCCAAAACGAGACAGACCCTGAGACTTTGCATGTCAGAGACAAATAAAATATTCAAGCAGCTTATTCCTTAAGAGAGCTAATAGCAATCAGAAACCCCCTCATAGACCAGCCATAATACATATGCAAATAAAAAATCAACAAACACGCATGTTACACATATATCTAAGCGGTAAAGAAAAAAAGAAGATTCGAACCTTCTTTAGGACTGCTGAATTTAACATGACGTTTAACCACCGACCTCTGCTTCTGCTTCAAATTAGGCCTTGAAGCTCCATAACTCGTAGATTCAATCCACCTATCCGAATCATCAGCTTTTGAATTCTGATAATCCTTCGACAACACTCTCCGGGTCTTAATCCGATTCAAACCACTGGGAATACCGGTTTCAACCGACGACTCTACACCGTTTCGACTCGTTTCCGACATAATACAACTCCGTATGTTCCAGAGCAAAATACCTCCAAACTAAAACCCTAGACCTCTGTTTTTACATCGGTTCCAAATACTCTATACCAGTAACAAACAATGAGACGAATGAATGTACTGAGAGAACAAACGTGACTGAAAATCGCTGGAACAGAATTGTAGATAAAGTGGGAAGGGGTAAAAGATATGTGTACGTGTATTACACGAACAGTTGGTTGAATCTTGGTGGTGTCTGGGAGGCAGGCAGAGAACTCAATGGTGTGCGCGAAAGTGCTTGTGTAAAATCTTTTTGATTTGGTTCAAACGACAAAGAAAGTGGTTGGAGGTACGTGGCTGCCGAAGAAAAAGTCAGACCAAGAAAGTTCTGAAAAAGATAATTTCAAAAATTTATCCACACAGAGAGAGAGGAGAGAAAGAGAGAGGGATTTTTATTTTTGGCGTGGGGCCTGAGCGGGGGTGTTAAGCGTCGAGTTTGGTTATTATTTTATTTATAAATTAGGCACTTAATTTCTTTGTTCTTGGAATTTAGATACCAAAATTTAGACTCAAATTTAAAAAAATTTTAAAAATTTGTTCCAACCTTTATTCAAACTTATACAAAATTAAGAGGGACTCTATTTTTTTTACTCAAATTAAGAGAGACTCAAATCCTACCCCAAATCTTTAATGGTGATATTTCACTCTCTTTTAAAATCAAATGGTCATCTTTACTCTTATTTAATTATAAATTTGCCCTCATTTAAATTTAGATTTATCCTTATTTAAATTTGAGTTTATTCATTTGAGTTATTTACATCAAATCAAACTTTTTACTCAAATACTAACTTAAATTTGAATAAAATTTTAAGTTATAGTTGGAGTTGCGCATATGATTACTGTTATGGAAGTTCTTAAGTGATATAAAGGTTGACATTCGATTAGGTTTTGACTATTCTAAACAAATTTAGTAAAAAATATAATTAAATTATTAAGGTCATTTTGTTAATTCTAAACTTATGTTTACATAACTTTAAATTGTATATACTTTTTCTATGTTAACTTTTTGTGTAATAAATTTTTAAAATTTTGAGTTGTTAAGTTTTAATTTTATGATTGGTTGTAATACATTTGGGGACTTTTTTTTTTTTTGTGAAAGTGTTTGTTTTATGGTAGATTATTAAGTTATATGAGTTATTTTGAAAATTTTGTTGAGAATTTTAAATTTATTTTAGCTGAAATCAAGATGGAATGTTCCAAGTTTCTGTAAGCTAGAACAAAACTACGCTCGACAATTGAGCTCCCCAAATTGGAATTGATTTTAATTTGAGCATGTTTTTTTTTTTTGATATGAATTTTGAGCATGTTTAAGCTCAACAAAACGGCTCAATTAGCACCCGAAAGTTACTTAAATTTTCAACTAAATTTGACCCAAAAAAATCGTATTAACCAATATCGATACTGTGTGTGTGACATGTTGAACTCTGATTCAAAAGATCTAGTTCGAATCTTTGGTCAGTATGATCCTTTAAAGGAAAATTGTCAACACTAAGTGAGATTCAAGTTCAGAAGACACCTACACCTATTACACAATATAATAGTTGCTCATATTTTTTATATTAAAGTATATTCAAAATATTTGAGATACATTGAAATTTCAAAAACTTGTAAGGGATTGTAAGAATGAAATTAAGTTTTTAAAACTTTTCATTAAATATCCACTTTAATTGAATTTAAATAGTTGCAGTTACACATTTTTTAATTGAGTTTTGAATTTTCAAAGACATATTTTTATCTAATTTATTGTGTATTAAGAATAAAAATTAATCATTTAAAAATAGTTTTAAAAGTTATGTGTGTAAGTTACTATCCTAATGGGTATATAAGTGATTTTGAGATAATTTTTAGTGATAATGATCACAATAATTACTCTTCTTCGTGTCAAACTCAACAAAACTATTACACAACTATACTTGACATGAACCGATTGAGTATTAATGTTATTTCAAAATCTCAATCCATGATTTTAGATCAAATTACTGATCCAATATCTAATTTTTTTGCTCCTTTTGAACTAAATACAATTGATTCAAAGAATCATTACTTTTTTGAACAATCAACAAATTGTTTTTGTTTTAAATATTATTTTAGAGCATTGTATAGTTTACAGTTTGGAATCGATTATCCATAAATAGTTGTATATTGCTTTTCTATAGGACAACTGTCAATTAATTTTGTGCGTTCATAAATCTTTTGGAAACTATTTGTGTTCGGATTTGCCTAAAATAAAAGAAACGTAGACATTATCCGCAATGGAGTACCAAAATGCACCACACCAAGGAGTTATGGTATTTGCTTCGATCTCCAAATGAAAATTGAGTGGCCATTTTTAAAAGGGTTGTACAGAGTCAACCATCGAATATGATGCGGGCATGCACTGTGTCTGGTTCGAATTTGATGTAGATATTGAGAAAGTAAGATGCTACAGAAGACGCATCTATAACTTTTTTTCTTTTGGTCCCTTTTCGAGGGATAACAGATTAACAGGGGGGAAACCCTTGGCTGGGCTGACCATAGCAACCCAATCCCACGAGAAAAACCCATTATTAGGGCCTAGACAATGGAAACCGCATTCGCTTTCAAAGGGTGACTCGAGTTGTAGCCTAAGTCTCGCACCACAGAGTTATTAGTGGAAACATCGAGAGTCCCTGTGAATCGAATCAAACTCTGTTTGTTAACCTCATACTTTTTAAGGAAAAAAAAAACATTACATAGAATCTGTTAGTAGGATCTAAATATTCACCTCTCTTACCCACTCTCTCAAACTTGCACTTATTTCATCATCTTTCTTACACGGGCTGTAGAAGTTGAGAAACTTTACTACTATCTGGCTGAACTACATGTGATCACAGAAGCATGTCACAGATCTACAAGAATGAAAGAAAAACATAGATATGCATTCGTCGAAGCGTTGGGGGTGGGTGCAGGTAGGAAGAGCAATGGCATGGCTAAGCATGAATCTCAAAACGTAAATTTACGTATCGTTTAATCTGCAAGTTAACGCACAGAGAGAGAAAGCAATATAATGGAATATGCAAAGAGCAAGCACATTATGCATAACTTGACGGGATAATGATAATAACAACAATAATAATCGAAAGGCTAGATTACCTTCCTACAATAATTAACAATGATCATTACAACAGCAACAATCCAGTAATATTTACATAATTATCAAGATCGCAAAAAAGGAAGGTACTCTTACATCAAGGAAGTCATGAGTGGCACAGGGTATAAATGCACTGTTTTATTTACCTCCAAGTGATTAATTCTAAAAGCAATTCTAAAAACAGTAGTAGTCTAGTAGAAAGGTGAAGCATTAAAGGAAGAATGGAACTCATCCATAGCTGAAAGTACCCACCATCGGCATGGAGCATGGTCAGAGCTACTACTACATTCTCACACTAATATTGAGTACAGTTCATCTTATGAGTATCGAATGAAAAGATGGAAACAGAACTATACCATAGGGAACCAAAGACTACCATTGCTTGTTTCCACCGTGAACAACTATTCAAGGGATAGTTGGATGCAAATGCTTAAGAATTTCTGTTTATTTCTTTCTCGCATAACTAATGTTACAAAAGTTAACTACTATATCAAGCTCAACTGCAGTTTGTAAGATTACAGAAAGAGGGAGAACAATCACCCCAGCGTGGTAAAAGTCAATGCAATCATTGTTACTAGTTAATTGCTATCATCTAAAACTTGACTGTTTACAAATGGAGTCTCTCTTCTTTTAGGAAATCTGCAGATTCTAGATTTGACCCCCTAAATTTCAACTCTGAGGCTGCCCTGAAATTGGGATCAACAGAAGCAGGTCTAGAGTTGGTATCAACAGAAATTGGCCTGTGGGAACTGGCTGATCCATCTGGATACTGGGATGGAGAAACATACCTTCTTGATGGACCTCTTAGACCACCACCTCTCAGATCCATAATATCAGCATTTCTTGCAGAAGAATCCGTGAAAGATCTATCACCAGATCCAGATCCTAATGGAGCTCCGTTTGTAGCTGATGTTGAAGTAAAAGGATCATCTGGGCCCCAAGAGGTAAGAGCTTCCTTCTTATTGGCAAAAAATTGCCATGCACCAAAAAGGAACAGAATAAAAAACAAAATGGAACTGATCCACTGCATGCTATTAAATTCTCCTTTGAAAAGAGGAAGGTTGGAGCGATACATCCCCACAAACCCACTTCCTAGATTCAGAATAACAAGCTTTTCATGGTCAGTGGCTATTGATGGAATCACTCGTCTCTTTACGGCATCTATATCCACTGCTTGACCATTTATAAATGATGCTATGATCTCTTCTAGACATGCAGAAAACAGAAGCCGTGGCCCACCAGCCCTAACATAATGATGAGAGGAAACATTATACACATAAACCTTCTCCTGGTTCACAAACAGTAAATATCCTTTTATTGCCTGAAGAGCTAGAGGCTCATTCATATCAACTTTCCTTTTGGATCTAACCCTGCATTTGAAGTTCATTGTATCACCTAACAAAAACACATGAATCAAATCACCCTCCGATGTAAAGCCATATGCTTTCGACCGCTCAGTGGCATCAAAAACATAGTTCTTAGCAACAGAATTGTTCAAACCTTCGCACTCTGACTCCCTAATTTTCATTTTCCTCAAATCCAATGATCCCGCACCAGTCTCAGTAAGAAACATAAGCCTTTGCTTCAAGAACACGAGTGGCCTGCTGGTTGGCACCGCCAATCCATGTTGTCTCCCAGTCTCCCGGAAAACCCTAATCTTTCCACTGCTGTCAATCGACAAAATGTACCTCACCCTCCCAACATGATGCACTTCCAAGATAGTTATAGGCAACCCCCCTTCCCCACCTTCCAGTGAAGTAAATTCCCGGACAGTTTCCATACGAAGCAAACTCAATTCCTCTCCATTTGGCACCTCCCAAAGCCTATGCATCAAAATTACACCATTCTCATGTCCAGTAACCAATACGGTTTCATTCTTATAAACCGACAAGTAAGACACCATAGCCGTAACAGGTGAATACGACAATGTATAAAAATCAACCGAAACATCCCCATTTCTCAAAAACACATAGATCCTCCCATGATCATCCCCAACCGCAACATATTTACCCAATCCTTCGTAATCCCTCAATGGCAACACATTGATACAAGTAGCATCAGAACTCAATTTCACAGCTGACACAAACTGAAACTTCTCCGACCAAAATGGATTATACTTTGTAACTGCCACCGCCCCCACTCTCTCAATTTCCCTCTTCTTACTCTTCAAACCTTCATCTTCAATATTTTCCTCAAACCGATCACCATTGTTCTTTCCTTTACCATACTTAACTTCTTCCTCAAGAGCTAAACGCGATGATCCATCAACACTGTCCTTTTCGTCATCAGAAAAACGCGATTCTAACCTAAATACCAGATCGCTAAGGTTTTTTATTAGCTCTTGAAGCTTTTCTAGTTGAAGCTGGTGTTGATTGTTCAATGCATTCTCATTCCTATCACGTTCACGATCGATTACGTGTTCGTTTTCAAATACAGCTGAGTTTGAGTTTGCGAAAACACTAGAAATATACAGAAAATCAAAGACCAAGACCAGATAGAGTATGCAAAACTTGCCTTTGTGAGTGCTTTCCATTGAAGAGAAGCTGTGAAGGTATTGGGGTTCAGAATTCCTCGAGCATTATAGCAGATATGTAGTGATTGACTGAGTGCTGAATTGGACTGATTTTAGAGGAAGATTCAAGGAAGCCGTGAATTCGTGGATATTGACGTGGTGCTGGGGGGGCGGGGTGTTGGTTCTTTTTGACTGTGCCGGTTTACTTCGTTGGATTAGGGCAAGAAACACGACTTTTCAGGCGTTAATACTGTGGCGGAGACAGCTATCGTGATATTAAAGCAAAAATAACGTGAAATCTATCTAAAGTTGTAAAATTAAATTCTCAATTTATAAAATACAACAATAATTAAAATTAATTCAATCTACGTCTATTTTAATTTAATAATAATATAAAATTTATCTTATTTTTTTTATTTAATTTCAAACAACTCAATTAATATACTTCTCAATATCAAATAATATCATCAATTCATACTTAACTCTCTTTTTATTTTAATTTTATATTACCTAATTAAAAATTAATTTATTATTTAAATAATAAAAATATTACAAAGTTAGTTCAATTTAATATTCGGAGACATAAGATTATTGTTAATAAATTATTACAGTTCTCCTATGTACAATCTAATTTATCTAATATTACATTTAGACTTTACTTATAAAAACAAAATAATAATTAAAATTGATTTAATTTTATTTATTTTGAACTAATATTATAAAATTAATTTTTATTTAAAAATATTATTTTCTCCGCACGACCTCCAATATAAGATAACCTCTTTAATCGACACCAACTTTGCTCTCAATGCGCCAAAAAAAAAACTTTCCTCTCCATTTTTAATAAGAGTTATTACTAGTAAATAAATAGATGGATTTTGATTAAAAAAAATTTAAAAATAGATAGATAGAGACAAACAACTATACTGAATGACCAAACTAACCTCATCACACATTCCGACATTAGCGCGGGCTGTGATGTGCGGTGTGCCTCAAGGAATTACAGTTTTTTTTTTTTTTGAGTAAATCCAATAAATTACCTGTTCATACATGGAGTTTTTTTGGTTTTTCTTTCTGGACCCGAACTGCTGGATACCTTTTTTATTTTTTAACGTGAAAGTTTCCTATTTCATTTGAGTCGAAAATAAAGAACTACATTCAGAAATAAAAAAAAACTTAAGCTTGGAAAAAATAACTCACCCAACTCAACAGCAAAAAATTATCGTAACAAATAAACTGTCTTATTTTAGATTGTCCTTGTGTGTAAAAACTTTACGTTAAGATCTCTTACAATAAATTTAATGTCTTCGAACAAAGTGATGACTTCCCAAGACAAAACTCCTTCAATTGAACTGAGTCTAATCTCTTCAACAATATCACTCTCTATAGCAATCTGGTATAACTGAAATATATATGTTGATAGACATGCTCGTCACACTATTACAGTTTCAAAGTATAGACTCGATATAATAGATATACCCTTAGTTATACCAACCGCTAAATAACTATAATAAAATCATTTTTAACGATTTAAAACTTCGTGGCTATTGAAAAGACCAATCAAACCACCAACCACAACTCTCATTGTATCTCAATCATCTATTATGATTTAAGCAGTCGAGTTTTAAAACTTCCCCTATCATTGAATATTTTAAAAAGACAAAGGGCCAATACAAATGATGCCTACTACTGAAGAGATGGAGAGAGAGAGAGAGAGGTGGGAGGGGGGGATTCGAACCCACACAATGGGCATCGGGTGAACCATGAAGTCCATACACAACCCGGCTGTCCCCATGGACAGAAGAGTTACTAACTTCCAACAGGCAATTATTGTATAAAAAAGGATTTACTAAATAAGAATATGGCATTAGCACGGATGTGCTCTGCACTTGACAAGCAGCACTACTTCGTACTGGTATCTCCATTCTTCGACATCGGTCCAACTTCATCCAAGCAGGAATAGTCAAAATTCAGTTTTTAGTAAAATTGAGATCCAATCTCTAGTCAGACCCAAATCTAATGTGCAAGCAAATTCAGAAGCCTCCTAATCCTTACTTTAAAATTAAAACATTCGGGTGAAGAATGGATTGCATCTAGCAAGGCATTGATTTATCATAGACATGGCAAGAGGTGAAAAATGGAACTTTTCTGCCAGGCCTTGCATTGCTTCTGTTCTGCCTTAGCTTCTTCCTTCTATCTTTATTGGCTTCTTAGGAATTTTAAAAGCAGAGAATGCAGTTTCAGTCAATCCGACCATACTATCCTGATTACAAATATTAGATTGCATTGACGATTGCTTCAATATCTCAAGCAGTGAGGTACCCAAAGCTGTTCCAGCAGAAGCATTTGTATGCTGATTGCGGGATTTGGTTTGTGAGTAACTGAATTTGCTTGTAACCTTCCTAGTTGGCTGGATTTCCATTGAGGTCTGCACATTTAAAGTAAATACAGCACAACCATAACTGCTCTAGTGAATGGAAAAGAAGACCATAAACAATAATCTTGTAGACAATGGACAAAGGCCAAAGAAGAGACTTTAAATAACCAAATAGACATGGTTGCAGCAAGCTTCAAATTCCTTAATAAACAGACATATCTAGTTAGAAAGGACAGAATTTATGCTGCCTGTCTATTAATTATTATTGAAGTAAGAGCAGATACGGCCATGCAAACAGAAGTACTAAACCATTTTTTCCTTATTTCCATTGGGCTTTTAACAAAACTTACCATATCTGAGGAATCCCCCGACATTGAGATTGAACTCCGGCTATTACTATCATCTCGTCCAAATATAAAAGATCGAACCATGCTTGATCTTTGCTTGTGGGACAATGGAAGAGGATGGTTTGACGCTCGACCAAGGAAAGATGACTGCAACAAATTAGTGTTGAATATCTTAAATTAATAAATCCATAGTCCTACAAGTGTAGGAATTTTGTGCAAATTGACAAGTTCCATGAGCAAAGCAGATGATAAATAAGCAGAAAGTACAAATCAGAATAGAAGTAAACATTCAATGTGCAGACATGCAGTGAACCGAGTAGTACAACTCAAAAGGTCTAAAGAAAGTCCAAAAACCCGTGAAAGATTAAAGACTTTAACATCTACAGAACAAAGCATACACTTGCACCAAAAATTGGGGGATACTATGGTTAGTGCAGAGGATTTCTTCTAATTGCAATTTGGCTGATAACTCTGGTGGTTGCCAGACTGGCTGGCAAAGAATGATTAACCATCTTTATCATAGAAAGATGCATCAGAATATTTGGCTCATTTTGGGAGCTATTATGACCTAATTGTCTTGTTTTGTTATATGCCCCTTGACATGACTTGGTTTCAATTCCAGACTCTTGGAGAGTTCCAATCTAAAGACTGCCTAACTGAAGATTGCACATTTTCATTGATAATATTGTGCAAATTATCTAAAATAAGTGGTAGCTGGTCAAATATAGTCCAAAGATTTCGACAAGGATATCTAATCAGCGGTAATTTAGCAGAACAAATACAACGCAATCTGTTCAAAACATCTTATATACTAATATTTAGAACTAACAAAGCAGAAAAGACCTGAACAAGTGACCAAAAATAATAGTATGCAATTAGTTCTGCAAAAAAATAACAAAATAATTGCTAGTCAACATAGGTCACTGATACCTGGCATCTAACTTCAACTTCCAAATTACTTTCAACATCATCAAATGACATACTCTTTTGATGACAAAAGACTTATTGCTACAATTCATACTACATGACACACCATATTATTTCCAAGAGATCCAGATTAACTTACCTTTGAAGAACTGTTGCTATTTCCCCCTCTTAGCACTGTATCAAAGAATGCTGCAAAATAGCATAACAAGCATGAATAAGGAACATTCCAAAAAAAATCAAAATCCATAAAATGTATGAATCTCATAAAATTATACAGCAGGTCTTACATGAAGCTTTTGCTTTCTTCTTGATGTCAGGCACAATATTCAGTTTCTTTATAAGGCCAAAGATTTCTCTGGAATTCTCATCCTCGGCTGGTGACACTAATTTTGCCTGCTCTTCCTGTTCGAGAAAATAAATTTTAATAAGAGAAAAATATAAACTATTATTCTATAAGACTATAAACATACAAGATAAGTCAGCATGTTCTAACAAAAGCTCACCGCTCTGACAAGCTGATGCTGTTTAACTAGCCTCTTCTCTGGTTCCTCTTCATTGTCAGATAAGTAAGCATCATCTTTATCTGAAAACATCTGAATAATAATTTGCTTTGCTTTTCTGGAATTTACTCGACCTACATCTGTTGATGCTAAATTTTCTTCAGCTTTGTCAATAAACTCATCATCATAATCATCTTCTACGTTGTCATCTTCAAGCAAAGTTGCGTCTCTGTCTTTCGAACCACAATTCAATCTCTGCAGGAGATTGTCAGTTCCAGCTGCATCTTGTTGCTCAAGCCACTTCTGATGAAGTTCATTGCGCCTTTCATTGTCAATTGGTCTTTCTGCATACTCAGTGGCAATCATATCATTAAGTTCCTCAGAATCTTCAACATCGTCATCTTCTTCATTTTCTTGGAAGCGCAACAGGTCATTGTCACTATCATCTTCCTCAACAGCTTCATCATCAACAAAAGCTTTAACAGGATCACCTTTAGAAGAAGAATAATCAGTATTGAGTCTACGTAGATGCGGATCAACATTCTCTTTGTCACTGTCCTCTTCATCAGAAGATCTGCAATAAAAATGGTAATTTTTTCACTTGAGAAACCAAATGAGAAGTAATAATTTAAACCTCAGCAAAGGCAAACTAAATCATTACAAGAGGTCATAAAACTACAGCTAGGGCATGAAATTAGAGCTAATGTAGTGTCTGACAATTTGTTAAGGTTATCAATCACTAATTTATCATCTGCAAACATCCAAATAACTGCAAAAAAATGAACATGTTAAAGCACACTCACATATCATCAGCAGGAGCAGAATCAAACTTCAAGTTCATTGTAAGTAAAGATGGTGCCAAAACTTCTTCCAGAGGACTATTTTGTTGGTCATCAGGCACCGCATCTGTTCCTACACTTTTTTGGGAATCACCAAAAAGATCCTATAATTTTCAAATGGAAATCAATTAATCCTTGTGCACAAATTAAAAGCAGGACCATCAGTTTTCTTTCCAACATGATAAATAGAAGATGACCTGAGTATCATCAATAGGAGTTTGAAATGGAGTTGTAGATTCTTCATGCAAAACCTGTTGTAACATGGTATCAGGATTACACATTGTTGCAACAAATCTCATCAAGATGGAAGTGATAAACTTGTGGAGAATAAAACATTAATGGCTTTAAAAGAAGTCTCCAAGTTATATTGTTTTCTTAGTGTAAACAGATCCAACACATACACATATGCTGCTTTCCATATCCAGCAACTGCCATAAAACAATGGTGTCAACTTAAGGTGAAACCAATTATTCCAACATGTTATATTTGTGAGCATATCACCAACTGAACATATTTCCAACTTGGCACCAAAAGTGATTCTAGCAATTCCTTGATATTTACAAACACCTAAAAAGGTAATTGGATGACACCCAATAATAACAATATTTTTGACAGTCTCAACACCAATTTACTTCAACAATGTCATCTAATTTTACTTACTGTTTTTAAAGGCATATTTTCATCAACTGATCGTGTCACAGATTCTCTAGATCCATCCACAAGAGGAGCATTTAAGCAACTCTCTACATCCCCGTGACATGCAATTGCTTCACCTTGCACCATGCTGGTTAATTTGTCTTCTGACTCAACACCTCTCACTTCAATGAATACATCATCTGAATCAACATCCATCAACATCTCTCCCAGAGAACCACTACCCAAAGCAATAGAACAATTGTTGTTTGGCATGGAAGTCCTGCCACCCAAAGGATAAGATCACACTAAAAAAAAGTGAGTAACGGAAATCAATATATATACGAGGACAAACCCAAGATTATCAATTACTCACTTCTTTGACACCTCCAGCTTTCTTTGCCGAATCTTCTCCAAAACTGAAGATATGGATTTTGGTACAACTGGTATAGGTTTAAATGCAGCATCTCTAGTTTCTAACCAACAAAAAGTTAATTATGAATTAAGTCGACATTAATAATACAAGTGGAGAAAAAGATGTGATTCGCGTAATATTGTGAGATGTAAATAATTGTGAAGTGAACCTCGTAAGAGTCTCTGTGATTCAGCATGAAGTTGTTGGAGATAAGCTTTTCTTTCCTGTAAATCTCAGATACTACAAATCATCAAATCCATAAACAAAACTGACACAACGCATATAAATAATCAGAGCAACGTGAATGTACCTTTTCTTCCCTTTTTCTGTTTGATGTCACCGCTTTGGGCTTCTCATCATCCCCGTCAACCTTTGGCCCCTTCTTCTTCTTTTTCTTCTCTTTATTTTCATTCAACTCTTTTTCACTAATCCTCTTCTTTTCGGACTTCTCCAACTTGAATTCCGTAATCTCTTCTTCCAGCACCTCAGTCTCGTCTACTGGTCTCTTTTCATGAAATTCGCTATCCAGATCGTCGAACTCCAAAGTTCTCTTAGTTTCTTTACGATTTTCCTCAAAACTCAAATCATCGAAACCAGAATTCAACTCACTATCATCGTCGAAACCCTGAGATAGCGACTGCGAACGCAATGGATCATTGGAATCTTCAAACCCTAGGTCTGTTTCCGAAGCTTCTAAGGCTTCCAGTTTGGCAAAATCAACTTTCGGAAGCGAAAGAAGATCATCTATTGATTTGCTTGGGGGATCGTCTGGAGTCCTAACTGATTTTTTCAAGCGCTTGAGCTTTCGATATAGGACTGGAGGCGAAGATTCTTCTGGAGGTGAGAATGACTTATAATCGTCGTCGCTCTCCATCGAATTGGTGATTGATTGATGGAAGTAACGTAGAATTTCAGGGTTTACTTGGATCTGGTTTCTTGATGCGGAGGTGAAAATAAGAGAAAAGGCAGAGATAGGGTTTAGGCGGCAATGGTTTTAAATTTTGGGGGAAGAGCGGAACGTTGATTTTGAGGAAAACGAACCGCCAAAATTACCGGTTTTAGTGTTCGGCTTCGGTTGGGCCATTTAAATATGGCCCAGCAATGGCCACAACAATTGGTAAATTAGTCTAGCAGACAACCGAGCTGGCTCAGTCTGTCACGTACCAGCACATAGATAGCTTAATGGATAGAATCAGGGATTTGATATTTGGTCTACTAGACTTGATGGGTTGGGCTGATAATGCCAGTGAAGGTAGCCCGATGTGTAACGCCCTTGAGCACCTTGATGGCATGTTTGGTTTGATCATACAATAGGCTAGAGATTGGAGAATTGATTATATTCCAATCCATACTAGTTTTTTTTTTCCATACTGGTGAGAATAACTAGTCAAGCACTTTATCATATCTAATTTAATACCTCCTATTATATGGTATTAATTTATACCAAATATAGGATGCTAAATGTTCTTTAGCAAAAGGCCAGTACTGAAATATTTTTAATACCGGGAATTGTAACTAAATTTAAACATCTTTTGTTAAATGACAATTGGACTAATTTAATCAAATCTCATCCTTTAATATTTCAAATTGATGATACCAAATATAATATAAAAAATAAGTGGAAGAATATCTTCATGTCTTGTGTACGATAAAGTTCAATAAAAATGTCTTATCTCTGACCTCCAGTTGCACATCTAACCTTAAACAAAGGTGTCCAGGTCGTCCACGTACGATATCAGGCAAGGGTGACCAAGTCGTCCATATTATCGAGCTAAAAAGTTCAACATTTCTAATTCAGGCTAGGAGTATAAATCAAGCTCTTTTATTCACGAGCTGTCCAAAAAAATAAAAAGGTCATTCCAAACAACATGTCCAAAAGAATAAAAAGTCATTCCAAGCAACATGACCAACGTCACGTTACAAATGTTATCTTAACATGTTCTAGAAGATTACGTCAGCAAGTTCTAAAAGGTCATGTCACACATAGGGAATACAATTTCTAATAGCCAAATATACCCCTAATAAAGAGTAAATATTAAATGCAACGGTAATATCATGTCACTATTGATGACATGACATCAACAACCAATAATAAAATTTCAAGTGGACAAAATAAACTCTACTTGAATTTACATAAAAGAATAATAAAAAATTATTTGCTTATATGACAAGTTGATTATTAATTTATGTGAGGTTCATTTGTTTATTTAGAATTTTATTATTAGTTAGTGATATTACGTCACATTGTCACGTGATACCACCGTTGTAATGAATATTTTGTGATGATAACGTACGAACCACCCCATCTGTGGTATAAAGTGCATCAGTGGTTGCTCTCGGGATGGGAAGAAAATTGAGCATTTTGGAGGCCAACGGGGCTATGTCAGTAATTTGCAGAAATTCATTAAGCGCTGCCTTTGTTGGCAACACCCCCTCTCCTTGTCTCGGTCAGTAAAAGAATTCATAACCTTCAACTCCCTCATCCAGAAAAGTTGCCAAACAGATGATCAGAAGGTCCTTGTACATCATCCATCTCCAATTCTACAACATCGAATGTCTCAAAAAACCTGCGCAAGGACTGCACCATGACCCAAAAGCAAAGGAAACAAATAAAAACTGCAACAAATTCTCAACATTAGGGGCCAAAAGTTCGTGCCTCAAATGAAATCAACGTACTGATGGCAAACATATAGCCGGCCATAGTAATGGCGATCAGATAAAAGCTCACTAGTAGGTACAAACAGCATTTAATGGCCAAATGAATCTCAGAGGCCATTGTGTAACCCCAACAATGGAAAACTATTCGTCCAAATTTGTGTAGTTGCAGTAGACAAGTGAAACCAGAAAAATCACATTTCAAAACCCCACGGACCACGTACTCTCCGCGCTTAATTTTGGGTTTTCAAGTTCATCTGCCATATTGAAGGATGCTGAAATCTGTAGACAAAGACCAAAGTTAGAGCCAAGACCCAATATAGATCGATAGAAAATAAGGAGAGAAATTCTAGACAATAAGAGCTATCATCATGACATTTTGCATGTTGAAAACTAAGCATAAGATTTCTCTCCTTGATTATATAGCTATCATTGGTTAAGGTGAACATGCAAAATACAGGATTTTACAAGGGTTGTTATAAATGCACCTGATTAAGTATAAGTTCCTAAAAGAAGTGTACAAAATTGAGTATTAGTTCCCATAGAGGTTGCCAATCCGAGGGCTAATGATTTAGAATAAAAGAAAAAACTAGCAAGTCAGTCAGTTCCAAACTATTTATCACAAAATCCATAATGAGTTCCAGATCATGCATGAAAGTTCTCTTTCCCCTTGTAGAGCTCAATGCCCCACAAGCTCACCTTCATTTATCTTAAGAAAAATTGTCTTGATGTGTAATGTTTTCTTTTGCATACCATATAACTAGTTCTTTGTGTAGCATGGAAAAGCACTGGAGAGACATTACTGATCAGGTTAGCTGAGGAATTGAACACAAACTAAATCATTCACACCAATAAATGAGCTAACCGATTTATGTATCCTCTTAAAAAAAGCATTGCAGCATGGCATGAGAAACAATTTGAACCATTTTTTGTGAAACTACTTTGAGCACACACTATTACAACACACAAGTTCATCTCTAACACCTATAAGGGCCAATGTATTTTGAATCTCTAAGACATAAACTTATGTTGAGCTTTTAGCGTCCCAGATTTCTCTAAATTGTCTAACTTTGATTCAATGGCTGAAATTCTCTTATAAAATTTTACTTTCCCGCCAATTGTATTCCTTGATTAGGTTCCTCCAAACGCCCAGTTGCTACATGATGCAGGAAAATTTTAGGAGGCTAAAATATTGGCTGATAAAGAAAGGATATTCAGATTCTCTCATCTGCTAGTACAAATTTTTCGAAATAAATGGAAGAGTAAGTCTATTTGTAACGGTTGAAGATTTGGAAAGGATTTTCACCTAAAAACTAGACTTCCAAAAATATTTAACTTGCTTTGATCCTTTTGTAATTTAATCACAAAATAATTATGTTATTGTGAATTCTATTAAAGTTATCTTGGTTCAAATATTAAGATGACACTTGCCATAATTTTCAAGTTTTGATAGACAACAAGTGCAATAAATTTATGTCAAGGACAATGTAAAAATAATGTTAGTTTTCAGGATACAGTGCCGTCACGCATGGATATTAGCTAGTATATAGATATTATTCTTACTGAAAACATCTAACCACATGCATGCCTAAATCGATGGGCAAAACATACCAAGGCTAAAACGGAAAAAAAAAAAAAAAAAGAGGAGAGAAGATAGAAAGAAGCCCTTGAACAATTGAAACACAGCACATCAGCCAAACAAGTGTTTCATTATATTTGACTAACTCCTTATACTTGAAAACGAGGTTCAATCAACTGAACCTTGTTTGATCTTAGTCTAGAAACTGATTACAACACAAAGATTGCACAAGAATACCACAAGAGATAAATATAGCCCATAGGATGTTCCTATTGCAACAGATCAGGTATGATTAGGTCAGTACCCATGCAGAGATGAGCTTTTTTTTGGCATTGTAGTAATGCGCAAGCAACCCCGCTTCAACACAAAACCCTCAACATCTAACAAATAGAAGACCCCGTTACTCCTTTGATCTCCATAATGTCAAAGATCATCTTAATCCAATCTTGAGATTTTGGAATCTGCCAGATCAGTTTCTCTCTCTAAAGCCGCCATTGGTAAAGAGATTTAGTAACTAATGGGCATGGAAGTAAATTGAAATGCATGCAGTAGGAGGGCCTTTGTATACGGAACATAAAATTTATTCCCCTCCACATAGCTCCACTTCTGAAGACCTCAGTGTCTTGAAGTCAATATCAAAAAATTCTCATTTTTCAGTCAATTATGGAATTTAAATTCTGAAAAGCTACATAGTATTGGCAGTGAATTAAGGGGTAAAAACAAGTCAAGCTGAGGCAATTAATGGGTTAATCCAGCTCGTATCCATATTTGAACCAGCTCCAAATCAAACTCGAGCTTGGATTGTTTCTCTCACGAGTGAATCACAAGCAAGCTTACAACCAGGTGATTATGAGCTGAGGCCGAATAGCTTGGTTTTGTTATATAACATAACTTTTTTATTTATGATCTGGGTTATATAACATAATTTAATAGCTTATTGAGCTGAATTCAATAATTCAGAGTCTCAAACGTCACTCCTTTATCTTCCAAGTCAATCTCAGGCGCGCCTCTAATGGTAATGGAGCCACTTCCAAGTGCCAAGACAAGGTCAAGTAGGTTTATTTATTATTGCAGTGCAGCCCCAATCAAATTAAGCATCTATAACCAATGCATGAACTTCATAAACTGATATTTTTTTTTTTAAATAAAAATCATTGAACGCAATTCCCAGTTCAAGTAACACAAAGGGGTAAATGAGAATGATATACCTTAAAAGTTCCATTTAACTTAGAATTCCTCGACCACTCGATGCCCAAAACCTTACTCGAAGTCTGATACGAAGCCCTAAGCACATCGTCCCCATGAATCCTCTGCGACACTGCGAAATCCCACGATTTCTTCGCCGTATCATAGCCCTGTTCAAAAGTGATCAAACCTTCGTGCACATAAGAGTACTTCAACTTGCAATTCCTAGAACCAAGCTCGTGATTCGCCGATATCTTATTAGCCGAATCGAACACTAGCGTTCCATCCAATATTGTCCGATCATCACTCCTACTCCGAATGTAAGTCCAGTTCAACGCTTTTCCCGACACTTTGATTGTGTTCATAAACTGAAACCTCAAGTCCTGAACAACAAGAACAATGAAGATATTAATTGACGCGAATATTGGGTACATATACATAATCTACACTTGCGCGTGCCCTAATTCAAATTGTGGGACCTTTTTGGGGACGTTGTAGTCAACGATGAGGAAGCCGGGTTTTTCAACAGCTAAACCTAAGCCGTTTAAGCTGGGCCCGTTGATAATAGTGGTGTCAGTCATGGAGGCTCGAAACTTAACATCGCCGACGGTGACGGCGACGGTGGTTGCGGGGGCGGCTTTGTCAAGTTCGTATCGAACCTTCAGAGACGCCTTCATTTCGTGAGAAGAAGATGAATAATATCGCGCGCGCGGGACAAAAAATTAGATGTTGTTGGTTCAAATGGTTTCGAAACGACCAATGTGTTTTGGCGGACTTACCGGTGCGGAAGAAAATGTTTCGGCATTGCGTCTGGATCTGGCTGTGTTTCGGGACAAAATATTCAAGGTAATTTACAGCCAAAGATTCCAAACTCTCTCAAGTTTGTCATTAATCACATGGACCTCCTCAAGTATTGAAAACTACACTGGCACCCCTGTCAGTAACAGTCAACTAAGAAACCTAACAGAATCTGCAAAATAACTATGTTACCCCGGATAAAAATCAACCCAAACCCAAACCAAATATCACACACAGATCTAACTTGTACGAACCCGACCCATAGGGCAAGCGATTCTTGACGCATAACTCATCGGATGGATGATGCTAGCGGCAGAACCTGGTGAAGGTATATATTTGAGGGAGAGATGGAATTGCTAGGTTGTGGTTCTGTTCATTTAGGTTATGGGGGAGGGAGATAGGTGTTATGGTGGGGGAGAAATGTTTTGTTTGTGGCTGTAGGGGTTAGTGTAATAGCAGAGGCAGGAGCGGCTCAACATTATTAAAAAAAACCTTGGACTTTAGCTTTCATGTTTTTAGAAGATTTTATAATTTTAGATATGTTGTTAACCCAAAAAAAAATTAAATTTTAAAACCTAAAAAAATTACCCATAAAAATTAAATACAATCAAAATTTTTATTGTAATAATTTAGATTTATGATTCAATACATAACATTATAAACCAAAAAATTATAAGTTGAAAAAATAAAAAATATTTTAAAATTAACTCATATTTGCCCTTACTCATTCTCTCTCCGTGTAAAAATAAGTAAAAAATATAAAAAAAATTTGAAATTAAATTATCTCTCCGATAAAAAATCAAAAACAAAAGTTAAAATATTTTTCTCTGTAACATTGGCACTCTCTCACACAATAAATTAAAAATATAAAAAAATGTCTCATTTAATGTTATCACTTTAGATTTCAAATTACCTAGGTGACACTTTGGTGGTGGAGGTGGCACTGTTTGCGTTAAAGTCGATGGTGGAGTCGGTGATAGATTGGGTAGGGTTGGTTAACCTAATTTCCTTGAGTACGTAGCTTTGATAGATGGTTTCACTCAACGAAATTAATGGTTTAATTAAGGGGTCAATTACTTAATTAGTGGAGTTTATTACTAGGGTTAATTAGCTAATTGATGACTTAATAAACGGGTTCAATTATAGATTTTCACTTAACGAAATTAATGGTCTTTAAACCATCTCCAATCTTTACCCTTTTTAATTTTGTTTTTTTTTTAAATCGTCTTTAATGCTAGACTTATATCCATACCAAACGAAGAGAAACTATTTTTAAAACTAAAATTAAAGGAGACCATTTTTTAAACCTAAATCTTTAATGGTAATATTACACTATCTTTTAAAGATCTAATTGTTATAATTTATCATTTTTTAAATTTAGATTTATCCTCATTTAAATTTAAATTTATCTTCTTTTAAAAAATAGTTTGTCTATTGCAGAGGTCTATATCAAATCGAATTTTTTAATTTTTTTTTAACTCAAATTTGAGTAAGAATGTAGGTCTCAGTTGAAGATGCTCTTACATAAATGGTCAAATACTTTTTTACTTGTTTGATTTATTTTGTAGGTAATTTGATTGATTTCAGTCTATGATGTTAATTATTTGATTAATGAGGTGAATCAACTTAACTACTAGATTTGTTGGGGGGTTTTATGAAAATTTTAAAACTATTGGGTTTTCGTGGTAGCTTAGGTTTTTAAGTGGGACATCATGCTTGGGTTGTGTGGGAATTTTGTGTTTAAAATATGCTGTGGTGTAATTGAAGTTGAATGACTTTTCAAACGGATCATAACCGCTGGGGCTTGTGTGACACCAAACTTCAAGGGAGCGTCGTGCTATTTTTCATACTTGAAAGGTCTTTAACAAAATTTAAAATGTCTTGAGTATAATTTAACCAAGAAGATCAGATGAATTAAAAGGACATAAAATTTCAAATTTAACGGTGGGAGTTAATTGAGAAATGTTCAAACATCGAGGGGGTAACGTGTCAAAATTAAAATCAAATGGAGTTAATTACAGCAAACCTAAACTTAGAGGGAATAATTTATAGTTGACCCAAGAAAATAAGTAGAGAATTCTAGGTATTTTAGTAACTTAACATAATTTTGTTGGCTATTTTTTTTGGTAGAAATTTGAGTTATCTCCCCATGATTTACACAATTTGCACATTATCTCTATGAGGTTTGAAAATAGCACTTAACTCTTGTGATTTTTTAACTAAAATGCACAACTAACTCTGTTAACATAATTAATTAAAAATTTTACGTCAAATATAAAATTTATAAAAAGAGCAATGTCATTTAAACTTAATTTATTCATTTAATCACTCATATACTCTTTGAAATTTTCTATTAATATAATAATTATAATTTATTATGTCAACAAATTACACATTAAATCTAAATAATATTACAAAGGTAATTTAATGGGCTAGGGTTGGTCCGTAATTGAATGGATCGTCAGACTAACGGACCAAACCCGTGGACCACGGGCCTCTTGCAGAGCCATGTAGGAGACACTTGTACATAAAAATCGAAATAATGACCGCACCATTTGGAAAACAAACCCTACTTCCCGCCAAGGCAATTGGCGCCAGATCTATTCCCATATATTTCACCATCCCCCACACACCACACCCCTCTGGCTCATCGACATCTATCTCTGCCTCGCGCTATCCTTGTGTATCAGAGGATACAGATTCAAGTCTGATCAATGTGAGTTTGTTCTTGTGATTATTCTTATCCGTGACATCTCTGTTTCATCGTCTAGCTTATGTTTTCTTTTTAATAATCCTGACTCGCTGACTTAATGGTGGTCTGTTTGAGATCTACGTGATCAGGGTTGTAGTTCTAACTTTTCCTTCTATTTGTATGTTATTTGTCCGAGTCGATAGACCTAGTCCCAAATTTTCGTAGGAAATGAGATTTTCGTAAGGTTGTTAGTTCTGAAATTCAATCATTGGGGGTTTAATAGGAGTTTCCCAATTCTATTTTTTTTTACGCGTATTGCAATTATGATACATATCAATTGGGTTAACCTTGGCTTGCGAGCTTTAATGGACGAAGTTGCTATCATGTGACTATAATGCAATTCTATGATTTTCTGGCATCCCACGACTGTATAAAAGATTTGTCAAATGATAGTATTGCTCTGTTATTAACGTTGTTTTTTATTGTTGCATCCTTAAAGGTTTCAGTATTCAATTTTACACATAAGCATATATTTTTGGTTAAGATTAAAAGGTTATTGTTTAATTGTATGCACTATCCAAAGTCAAGATTTTGGAAAGATGGTACAATTTAATGATCTAAAAACTTATAATATTTGGGTATTCATTCATTAGCACCGTTATTCATGATTCAACTTTAACGGAAAACCATGCATTTTAAAGAGGTATGGCCAAATGATTCCATCTAAGGGTGCCCGAAAAGGCTTCAATATATTCACGGGATAATAGGATATGTGCAATTGCACGAAACAACATTGCAGGAGTTGTAGGATTCTGATAATGTTGTAGTGCCTACAAATTGGTGACAATTTTTCTTCTTGGTGTATTTTTTTCTTTCCAAAAGTTTATCCAAGTAGACATTCAAAAATTAAACAAAAATTTCCACTTTACAGTTCATATTAGCATGTTTTGATGATCCATCAAAATGCTCAATTTCTGTTTTTTGCGAGCATGTAATAATAGATTGATGAGCTTACAATATTCCATAGACATTAGGTTTTTGGAAGCCTGTCTCCAAATTTCACTATGAGCATATGTGGAAATTTTTGTTGGGGATAGATTCATCAAAGCAAAGATATTCTTTAATAGTGGACAAACACAATCATGATCAGTGATGTTTTCTGTGCAGCATACAGGGAAAGAAAAAAATGCAAGTTAACTAGATATAGTTGAAAACATGAAAAAGTAGCCAAAATGGTGATGCTTTTCAGCATGGTGTTAATTATGGGAATGCAACATTAGAACAAAGTATGTCATAGAAGAGTAGTTCTACTATTCCAGTAGGTTGTGTTTGCACCACATTTTTTTTCATACGATGTTGAGGGGGATGACTGGGATGCTTGATCAAATCATGCTCAACAACATTAGTCGTTAATAATGGAAAAGGGTGCATATATGAGATTATGGAGCAAGTGAGAAGTCTAATTGTCCTGCCTGGAGGGAAGTAAGTAAGGCTTGGATGGTGATGGTAATAATGAAGAAGATTCCCCAGAAGTTTTAAAATTTGGGGTGTATGCACTCTCTTTGTTTGGACTTTGGGAGATATATATGCCACTATCTGAGAAATTAATTATGCTTCCCCACTTTGCTTCCTCAATGTCATCTCCAACTTTTTCTTCTGCATATATCCCTTTTGTTGTCTATGTGTAATTGGACATTTTATCACTGGCAGGATGAAGTGCTATACCTGGATATGATATATGGTGCTAAACTCTGACCATCAATAAACATGTCTGTGTGCTTGCTTATTTCTGTAGTTTCTGTTTGATGATTGTCAGATAAATGTTCTTTGATTCCATCTGAAGTAACAAGGCTAACATGTTCTTTGTGCCAGTTTCTGATCAGACGTGGTGCCATATTGTCCATACCCTGTTTAGAGCATAATTTAATTTGCTGCTATCAACGTAGCATTTTTCCACCATCTTGTATCCATGAGATAGCAGTTTATAAGTTCTGTTATCAGATAATGGAGCTAAGGAGTTGCAGTAATTTACATTTTATCCAGGCCATAAGGGATGGTTTGGTGGTAAAAATACGCAATGTGGATTTTTGTGGAAAACCAGCTGTTGTGTTCAGAAAATTGAGGGATATATATGAATCTGATGATGCCACAAATCTTGGAAAACCATCTACACTATTGCAAGATAGGTATGATGAAGTTTTTCACTATGACAGGTTCAAGATGGAAAGCCCATGTTTGCTCATGGTAGATAGAAGAACAAAGGAAAAACACCTGGAGACTAATGAGTTTAACTGCAGTGACAGTGCGGATGAAAAAGCAAGTGACTCAGATGAGCATGT